GTGACTGATATGAGGGAACAGGCACAGATGCTAAATGACTATTTTGCCTCTGTACTCCCCAAAGCAGGATGGGGGATGTCCGCATAGGAGATTAGATGAGGCTGGGGACTTACAGGCACAGATTAGAGTCATCCCCCTTGACGTCGAGGGGCTCTTCAGGTCATTGGACATTACAAAGGCGCTAGGCCCTGACGGGTTAAACCCAAGAGTGCTTAGAGAGTTGGCAGGAGTTCTCTCACTCCCGCTGTCCTCCATTTTTGAGGCCTCATGGAGAACGGGTGAAGTTCCGGAGGACTGGAGAGTGGCATCAGTGGTCCCAGTTTTCAAAAAGGGTGGTAGAAGGGACATGGGGAATTATAGACCTTTTAGCCTTACTTCCATCGTAGGAAAAACAATGGAAAGGCTCATAATAGAGAGAGATCTAGTGATGCTAGATAGGGAAGGGAGGCTGACAGCCACACAACACGGCTTCCGCAAAAACAGGTCCTGCCAGACAAACCTTGTGGAATTCTATGACAAGGTTTCGAGAAGGCTAGATGGAGGGGATGCAGTGGATGTGGTATACCTGGATTTCAGCAAGACCTTTGACAAAGTGCCCCATGATATCCTGGTGGAGAAACTGAGCAGTTTTGGGATACACCAAAGCACTGTCTGGTGGATTAGGGCATGGTTGGCTGACCAAAAGCAGAAGGTAACCATTAGTGGGGAATCATCGGGATGGCGGCCAGTGACAAGCGGGGTCCCCCAGGGCTCTGTCCTGGGGCCGATCCTGTTTAATCTTTTCATTAATGACATGGAAGAAGGGGTGAACAGTCTGCTGATCAGATTCGCAGACAACACTAAAACTGGAGCAGTGGCCACAACTGAGGAGCAGGTACTCCAGATCCAAAAGGATCTGGACAGACTATGGAAGTGGGCAGGAGACAACAGGATGGCATTCAATGTGGATAAGTGCAAGGTCTTGCACTTGGGGCATAGGAATGGGAGTCATAAGTACAGGTTCGGTGACAAGTGGCTGGAGAGCAGCACTTGTGAAAGGGACCTTGGGGTACTGGTTGACTGCAGGCTAAACATGAGTCAGCAGTGTGATGCGGTGGTCAAGAGGGCGAACGCCACCCTTGGTTGCATAGCCAGAAGTGTGGCTTCTAGATCAAGAGAGGTATTACTACCACTGTATATGACTCTGGTGTGCCCACAACTGGAGTATTGTGCTCAGTTTTAGGCCCCTCATTACAGAAAGGATATAGCCAGGTTAGAGTCAGTGCAGCGTAGGGCCACAAGGTTGGTGGCCAGTTTGCAGGGGATGCAGTATGAGGCGAGACTGAGGGAACTGGGTCTCTTCAGCCTGGAGAAGAGGAGACTCAGAGGGGATATGTTGGCAACATACAGGTATGTGAGGGGATGTCACATGGAGATGGGTAGAGACCTGTTCTCCCCTGCAGAGGAAGGCAGGACGTGCTCCAACGGAGCAAAGCTCAGGGAGCCAAGGTTTCATTTGGATGCCAGGAAGCATTTCCTGACATTTAGGACCCTGAGGGTGTGGAATGGGCTTCCACGAGAGGTTGTTGAGGCCCCATCGGTGCGGGTGTTCAAGGATAGGCTGGATGTGCACATGGTGGGCCTGTCGTGAGCAGAGCCAGCTGGTGCAGGAGGTCAGACTAGATGGCCCGGGAGGCCCCTTCTGACTCGCTCTGTTTCTATGTTTCTGTACTTGTCCTGTGGCTTTTATTCTGATTCATTGATCACTGGTGTTTTGTTTGCTGCATTTAAAGAAATGCTGCTTTTATTTCATAACTCATGTTGCAAATTATATGTTGAATGCTGGTATAGCAAATTTTAAAACAAATACGTAACTCAGTGTAGTGCAGTGGGTTAACACAGCAGCTGTTTGGGAATATGGCACAGCTTAGCAGGGTCACTCCTGGCACAGGAGTGTAAGGGCTGTATTTAATTGGGGCATATAATGAGGTGACCTGACAGGTTTGGCAGCTGGATCTGAGGAGACTCAAGAGGGACAATCCTTAGAATCAGGAAAGGAAGAGGAAGAAACACTGCTTCCCTGAGAGTTGGGACTTGTCTGTTGGCAGTAGGCAGATAGATTGAATCAACCACCTTATTTCTCTCAGGCTAAGTCCTTGCTTGTCCCATGCACCCTTTAAATGGACCCACAGTTAGAGTCTGTGCAGCTAAGGAGCATAACAAGTTAGTTCCTTTTCCTCTGAGTATATGCACTGTGTATTGATCCTTGTTTCCATATGTAAGCCCTGCCTTTTTGTCTATGAATAAATTAGCCCCATTGTCAGTATCTAATGCTCGGGTGAGAGTTTGAAAGTTCTTATACACCTCTCCCGAAATGTCTTCCATGTTCAGATTTAGAAGAAAAAACAAGGGTGCTGTGAGCCCAGGAAGGAGAACATGACAAACTATGAGTAGCGCCATCTGAGCAGAGAGTGGTAACAGATATGCATCAATTCAGGGAAGCTTCGGAAATCATAGGAGCCCAGGACTCATCAAGTTCACTGACTACACATCAGCTTTTTTAGAATATTCACAACAATTTGAATTAACACCAAGCTTTAAAATAAATGGATGGGATCATTTGTGAAAGTTATTTCAAGATACGTAGTCCTAACTAAAAGAATGTAATCTTGTATATATCTAGAAAAAGAATAGTAACACTGCCCAATAAAAGGTGGGGTTTTTTTGTTTTTGCTTTTTATTTTGCTATTTCATCAGGTACACTATAATAGTGTCTCAGACCTTTTGTCTAAGTTTTATTGGTAAATTTGCCATCCTGAATGGCATGGTTGGTTTTCAGAGGAATTTAGCAAATGGAAATCAGTTTTCTATTAAAAGCTGTTGTTTACTATTACAAGTCTTGTACATAATTATGTGTAGGTGTGCATTGGGTTGAAAACATTTCTATATACATGTTTTTATATAATTTATATCATGTTATTCTAAGGACACTTCATGGCAGGACTTTTCCTCCCCCCCTCTTTTTTTGGGGTTGCTGTATGTGAGTGGCTCTGAGGTAGAACTTGGGGGTGGTAATTGAAACCTGAGGATACATTTAAAGAAATACAGCTGTGCTAAGACTAGAATTTACGGGAAGTATGGTATAGAATTTAAATTGTCTTTGTGGTCTCTGTGCATCACACATATGGGCTTTCTGCCTGTGCCAAGCCTAGAACTGGGGAAAAGCTTCTATAGGGGAGTGTTCAATTCTGGGTGGGAGCCTCTCTCCTTCCTGTTCCCAGGAGGCAGTGGGAGAGATTCCTGCCCACCCCTTTGTTTTTGACCACCATCAAGCTTAGACTAGGAATAGCTTCTTTCTCATTCACCTTTGGTACTAGCGTTCTTTTGTTCTTCCTTTCAGGAAGCATGGCAGAAAATTCAGATTCACTGCTGAAGTATAAAGAACAACACTGAATTCTCTTGCTTTGCTTTAATATACATTTAGCAATGTGATTTAAATGAATGCAAATAATGAGTCAGATTCATTTGGTCTACTTTTACCATAAATAAGAAATATAACACTTCTACAACTTCTCATTGGCTAGGAGTGCCTCTTAGGTAGCTGAAAGAATCTAATCCCTTCACATGTGGAATTTCCAAAAGCTGCCTGGTATGACAAACTTAGATGCAAAATAGTTTAAATGCTAATAAAGAGAAGTACCTGTGAACTTGGAACAGTTGATATATTGATGTAGTTGTCAGCTTTGCAGAATTAACTGTTCAAGAACTTGTTCAGAGTGAGTTGTTCCGATGATTAAGCTGTGTACTTGCCATTGGCTTGAATTAGTTCTTGCTTTATCAAAATAGAAGAAAAGGGATGTTTAAAGGCTGCGATGTTGAAATGCTAAAACAACACATGCACGCTTGGCTTTTTTTCCCTGTTGGGTCTAATCAGGCGTGCTGGAACTCTCTCAAGCAAGAATGACTGCCGGGCGGGAAGATGTTACAGTAATTATCTCCCTACAACTTGCAGAGTGGGTAACATAAAGTTTGGGCTTTGTTTTGCTTTAATGGCCTGATTATTTACAACCTTCTTTTTGTGTTTGGATTGTTTTTGTTGTTTCTTGGCTTTGCTTCTTAAGTATATTTTTATCATTTAAATCTGTATAAGTCTGCCATATTTAATTTATTAGAAAGATTAGTGCATTCTTCCCTTGCACAGATAATTAACACACCCTGGTCTTTAAAGCACCCTTCTCCAACCTGGATTCCATCAAAGAGAAATTATGGGAGCTGAAGTCCACTATGTCTGTTGGGGGTCAGCTTTGGAAAGGTTGCTTTAGAGTAGAGCTATTGTTTTGCATGAGGTAGATGCTTTTATACAAGAATGTCCTGCCAGCAGAATCTTGAGATTGTAATCCTGGACACACTGATGTGTGTATAATCTCTGCTGAACTGTTGGGACTTGCTTCTGACAATATATGCTCCAACTATGTATATGCCACACACACACACACACTTCTGATTATATACAGAAAACCCTTTTTTTGAAGTGTTTATGTATATAAAATATGAAGTGTATAGTATGATAAAAAACAAAATTGTCCCACTTATATGTTGGAAATGTGTTTTTGGATGTTATGTGTAGTTGGTATTATTATTGTTCTGTACTTTCACCTTCTCCTCCTCCTCATATATTTTTCATTACACTTATATCTTGCATATTTTCTTCTTGCAAGGGATCCAAGGCAGACTACATAGCTCTGTTTCATCCTCACAACAACTCTGTGAGGTAGGTTAGGCTGCCAGAGAATGACTGGCCCAAATTTACTTGGTGAGCTTCATGGCTGAGTGGAACTAGAATGTGGGCACCAGTCCAGCACTCCAACTAGCACAACCTCTGGCTCTTTCATTATTAATACTATTTCATCAATGAGGGAACCCACTGAGAGATTATAGGGAAACTTGCAGATATGAGTATTTTCACAGCCACTATCTTCCCATTTGTACTTCTTTTTATAACATTGCTTTTCTCTTTTCAGTGCCTACCACAGCAGAGACAATAACTCCTTCCACAGAGCTGTACAAAACAACTGTATCAACTACAAGCACTACACCACAGAAAATTCCTATTAGTACAACATTGGCTGGGAGAACAAAAGATGACAACAGAGGCCCCAAGCCACCACCAGCAGTTTCTACCACCAGAATTCCCCCTGTCACAAGTTTCTTCCCTTTGCCAGAGAGATTCTGTGAACCTGATACTGCCAGAGAGATTAGTTGGCCTCAGACTCAAAGAGGAATCGTGGTGGAACGTCCCTGCCCCAAGGGAACTCGTGGTAAGTCCTCAAAACCAAACTACAGGTCAAGTGAAATAAATATTTCAACATCTGTCTTGAACAGTTGGTTAGTCTCAAGCTGCCTTTCATATGATCTTGATTACTTGGGAGGAAGTGGCACCTTCAGTTTTTAAGCTGTAGAGGGCATTGGAACCTAAGTACAAGAAACACTACAGTCCTTTCTGATGGATAAACACTACAGTCCTTTCTGATGGATTACAGATCACACTTGTGTCCTTGTCCAAAGTCCTGTTTGTTGCAATGCTTGCTTACTGCTTTCTTTTTCACTATAAATCCACTTTGAATTGTTTCCATTAAAAAACCTTTGTATTCGTCTGTTCACCATAAAGCCCTGACTATATTAGTGCCACTGTGTTTTGTGACTTTGTTGTCAGCAGCCTCTATTAGTTATTCAGCATTTAATATTGATAATCTATTTGAGCCACAGTCCAAATATCCCAGATGCTTGTGGGAGATTTAGAAGAAACATACCTACAAACACACACAGTGAAAACACTTGTACTTCAATCTTGCCTTCTTTGTCTTTCATAGGCACAGCTTCATACCTCTGCATGGTTTCCACTGGAACATGGAACCCTAAGGGCCCTGATCTTAGTAATTGTACTTCACACTGGGTAAATCAGCTGGCCCAGAAGGTGAGTTGGAAAATTATTTTTGAGCTTTATTTTCAATGTGATCTTATGCTCATGATTAACAGCAATTCTGGGCATAGTCACATATCCTCTAGGAACTATGAGAATTTTGCTGCCTGTTCAAGAGATTGCACAGGCCCTAATAAGGTACCCTGTGTGAATATCCCCCTTCAAGGAAAAGTCCTGCTATGGCACTGGAGTGTCAGCTTGATAATGACTGTCTTGAACACTTGAGGAAACCTGTGAGTGCCTCTTTTCGAACACTCACACATAGCATCAGAACAAACATATCCATGGTTGCAGCCTGCTGCAACCAGTGTGGCATTCGCTGTGATCCTGCAGTGCACACTTTCTTGCAAGCTGCTCAAATGCAAACAACCTTACTTTCATCTGGGAGAAGTCAGAAAAGACAGAGATGGCTCCCTTGGGCCTCAGGAGAGCACAACATCCTTTCCTCATGAGGGATACCAGTCTAAGCATCCTCAACAAGTGGTGATGCTACATGTGTTTCTGCTGAGGCAAAGACTGTTGCCTTTTCTTTGCTCTTCACTGGGCCAAAAGTAAGTGGATGGTGGTGGTGGTGGTGGTGGTGTTTTTATGCTAGCAGGCAGAGGAAGGCAGAAATGGAGGCAGCAGCAGAGTAGGTGTTCTGTGAGCCCCTTTGAGGGCATATTCACTTGGAACATATGTAGAGCCTTACTACTTTTCAGTGTGATCATGCTTGATTCACTTCAGGGAAAATCTGGAGGCCAGATAATTTTGCCCAGCACCCAACAGTGTTTGCCAAAATAGCTACAATTTCCTGAATTTTACTGAGATGCCTAAATGTCCATCTTAGGGTGGTCAGATGGAAAAGAGGACCCAGCTTCTGTATCTTTAAGAGTTGTGCAAAAGAAGGAATTTCAGCAGCTGTGTGTGCCTTGCATAATAAGTTCCTTTGCCTGAAATCCTCTCTTTTACACAACTGTTAAGTTTGCAGAAGCCCTGTACTCTTTTGCTTCTGGCCATGCTAGACCTACCAGCAAAAGCCCACCACGTGCATGAGTTTTTGTGCTTGGAGAGACACAACAAAAATGGGAGGTTTACCAAGCACCTGCTGGGCCAGAATCTATGGCTGGTGGGTTGTCTTCAGCTTGGTTGATTATATGGGACACACCTGGTCTTAGATCCATTTTAGTAAGCTAATCAGTAATACGTATATTTTTACCAAGTTTGTGGTAGTCAATATTCATGTTGGGTAGCAAGTAACAAATGGCATTTAGTAATGATAAGTGGAAAAGCTGTAGTCATACCCCAGTGAACTATAGTGTTTTCAGTGTTTACTGTTGCTGTGGGTTACCAATGGTACCAGTAAATAAGCCTTTTCAAGTATCTAGTGCTAAATTATCAAAGTATGTATTAATGCCACAGTGCATTAATGAAAGTATCTGATATTAGGACAGAAATAATTCACTTCTATCATTGATTAAAGTTGTTTTGATCACTGACTATTGGCAAATCACATGTTTCACGAGTAGACATTCTCAGGCTCAGTTTCTTGCATCTTCTGAAAAAATGAGCTGAGGTAGCAAGGTTGCTTGAAATCTCTGCGTGAAAAACTGCTTCCTATCAAAGGTAGATAGATGTTGGTTAGATAGATCAATGAATGGTCTGATTACTTTTGAGGCCATTTTGTACATCCTGAGCATCCGGGCCTGGGAGAAAGGTGCCTGAGAATCAGTTCCCAGGCTCTGACCACCAGCCACATTAATTCCACAATCAGCTTTTCAGAATTGGAAGTAGACAAACAGAGGGATTTCCCTGACATGAACTTCCTATGAGTAGCTTTTTGAAAATAAGAGCATTTACCACACATACTACAATATGCAAGTCTGCAATGAATCAGTATCTCGCAGCATCTAAAAACAGTAGATGAATTAATTGTACAACTTTTGATTAAAAAATCAAGTTGGCCAACAAATTGAAATCATATAAAAACAGACTAAATTTAGGAAACACTTGATAAAACTACTAGTTAGTAACCACTTTATAATCAGAGAAGGAGAAAGATGAGAAAGGGCCTAGCAAGCAGGGGAAGTATTAAGCAGTGCAGCCTAAAAGCTCTGAGGAATTTCAAACCCTTCATTTGTCCTATAAGATAAACTATCTGCTTCCTGCTGTTGCATTCTTTATTGTTGTTGCATTGCTAGCTAAAATTCCATGAAATTTCACAAGCAGAAGAGAGAAGCAGGATGGACAATTTACATCCTCAACAGCACCATACAAATAAAATTCTCACTTTCCAGACAAACAGTGCACTAACCTTATTTTTTGCTCTGCTGGCCATTCCAACAACCTCAATTAATAGTGACAGGAGGAGGAAGTAGACATGCCAGGAAAGTTCAGAATTTCCACTCATCTCCATATGCTCAGGATGGACAGTTCCAAAGGGTGGCAAGGGCCAAATGGATTCTATGTAAACATGTTAAAGATCACATGCCTACAGTGAGGCTGGCCATATTCCAAAGTGAAAGGGGCTACCCTACCAGTACCAGTACACACTACATATACTTACATTGTCTCTTCTTCTCCCTCTCCACATACATGTGTTGCACTCCAGTTTTAAAATTGTGGAAGCCTGTTGCTACCTGCATCACCCTGTCTTCAAATTTCTTAGTTTCACTAATGGAATGTTGGAAGAATAAAATGGAATTTTGGGAATTAACTTTAATCAATAGATGATAGATCCTTCCCTCCCTCCATATATATACCTCAAACTCCATAAGTTAAAAGGACAGGTTCCTGGCCCAAATACCTTACACTTTATTTCCTGGGTTGCTGCAGGCTCTGTGGGGAACTAGAAAAAGAGAAGAATTCTAAAAATATCTAACAACTTACTGTTTTAAGACAAAAATCTGATACTTATTTATAACTAAAATGCTCAAGGCATTAGAGGCTTGGGGACATCTTATTAAAATACTTTCAATAATTATTTCAGATCAGAAGTGGAGAAAATGCTGCTAGCCTTGCCAATGAATTGGCTAAACACACCAAAGGACCTATTTTTGCTGGTGATGTGAGTTCATCAGTCCGACTGATGGAACAGTTAGTGGACATTCTTGATGCTCAGCTCCAGGATCTGAAGCCCAATGAGAAAGACTCTGCTGGACGGAGCTATAACAAGGTAAACACAGGGAAAACAGCCTCACCCATTGGGCTTTAAAACTCCTTTTTCTCATGGTTTTGTTTGCTTTCTCCCAGCAACAGTTTTGTGAAATGGTTGCTTGCTTTGCATCAGTCCCTGAAGGAGAACATATTTTAGGATTTGAAGGGAAAGTAACCAATTCATAAAGACATGAGGTTTTTGACACTATATCACAGTGCCACAAACCTAGTACTCAAGAAATCAACAGGAACATGACCATTCCCATATGGGCAGTTAGAATAGAACAGATGACGTTAATTTTACCTTAGGAGCACGCTAAAAACAAAACAGCATTTTAGGCATCAATAAGACTTAGCACTGCTGTGCTCTTTGGTCCAATTTAACTTTACAGTATTTTGGTGGGAGGAAGCAGGGAACACAAAAACTGTTTTTCTGTAATCATCCTAGACATGTTCCCTGCTAGCATGATTTGGGCTCCCAGAAATATTTGATGCAGCAAGCAGTGACTCAACCTTGCCCTTCATTAACTTCCATAAAAGCAGAAGATTCATCTAGAAGTGATGATTAAAAACACTTAAAATGTATTCCTCAGGTGTCTGAACAACAATTAAATAGTAGCATTACTATTCCACTTTTTGTGTCTAACATCTGATGTTTTTTCCTTTTTTACTAACAAGCTCCAAAAGCGAGAGAAGACATGCAGGGCTTACCTTAAGGTATCTCTCCCATGCTGTCACCTTGCTTTCTCCCTGCTTCAGTAACCCGCTGCTACGCTTTATCCTGTTGCTGCATGATCCTCTGTATTTCAGTCTTTGATAAATGTGTATTGTGCCCTTTCACCACCAGCTGTTCAAAATGTTGGCTTTTGCACAGGTATAATGCTTCCATAATAAATCAATAGTAGAATGAACCAATAATCAATACTTCCTTTCCTCTCACCTTTTCTCTAAAAAGTGCAAGAACAGCAATGGGCATTAACCGAATTGGAGAGAACAATAGCTTTGTTTCACCATAGTGTTATGCTTGTAGAAGAAAACCAAAGCTGACAATAAGCACAAATGGTTTTATATTTGCAGTTATATATCAAAGACTGTGTACCCATAGCAAGTAGACTCCACAAATCGCTGCTGGTTCTCAACCTCCTCTTGCTTCAGTGGAGTTACTTCAGTGGAATGTATCAAGAGTGCCTGCTGGATTACATCCCATATTTGTGCATGATAAAACTGCAAGAATACATACACACCTTCAGCCACCCTGTTTTATTTCTTTTTGGTGCACTCTTAAATTCAGAGACATATATGTATGCACAAATTGAAAAGTATATCCATTTGAATGCTAACTATGGTAACTTGAACTGCAGATAAAATGCAAGCTTTCTAATAACTACCTAATATATTGCTCCTTGGTCCTACTTAGCCCTATTTTCCAAACTGAGAGAGGAATTATAAATCATGAGGGAGTCAAAATAACTTGCAGGCCATTCAGTACATGTTCTTGTTAATACCAAGGTCTACACTGTGTGTCTGACAGTAGGGAAGGGTGTTAGATAGAATTGCAGCCTAGTGGTGTTGGTGTTAAAACAAATAATTGCACATATTTGCATATTTCTTCTGTAATGTTACCAAATGATATTAAAAGTGATGATGATGATGATGATGATGATACAATGAAGGGAAATGGCTCAGAACAGAATAAAGGAAATAATAAAAATATGCCTAGTCCATGACAGACATAGCATTCTCAATTCCTTAATGAAAATTATGTGAGCCAAAAGAGGCTTTCGAGCCATTTACTCTTGTTCTCTATTGCCTTCATCTAAATTCTGCTCCCCGCCCAAAGAGGGGGAAAAAATCCCAAGACAGAATCATGATTTACTGTTATATGTGCAGCAATGCTAACTGTGGTTAGAGCTAATCAAGACTTAAAGCAGGATTAAATCATAATTTCAAATCCTTGGTTAGCAGAATCTCAGTTCTAGTTATAGTTGTGGCAACAGACATATTGGATAATCAGCATTCTAACCAGTGGTGGAGCTCGTAATCCAAAAGGGACCAAATGGGTAGAGGACATATGCTATCCTCCAACCAGCAGTTGACAGCCTCATAATTTGGAATGTTACATCTTCCCTTACCCCAAATTACACTCTCCTCTCTTTTTCACACTCCGCATACTTTTGGTAAGGTTGAACAAAAGAGAAGTGGGTGAAATCACATCTTAAAACGCCCTTGATAATTGTTCTCTTTTAACCTGGATCATGGGAAGTTAGGCTGGAGCACATTGGGTTTTACACTTGCATTTGCAGTTCACCTTTAAAAGGTAAATGTCATTGTGCAGAATGTAATAATGAGTGTGCTTGTTGTCATGATGGTAAGAAACTTGGTTATGATCCAGCTGAAGCAAAGCATTTACTCATGATAATTTTAGTGAGCAAGTTACATTGTTATTTTTTCCATTGAACTAAAAAAAGAAGTGCTTTGAATTTGGCCAGGTCATGCACTGAGAATTTATTATGTCTTTCTCTCCCACTACCCAATCACAACCAAAACTTTGGCAAGAAAATGTGTCATTACAGTGCTGGCTGTTTTCAGCTCACTGCAGAAAAGCAGCAACTGAGATAGCATTGCAAATATAAGGAGAAATGCAAGTTAATGAATATATATAATCGGCACAGTGTAAAACAGAAATGGCAGCACAAGCTTAATTTCTTACTGGAATCAGTTTTTGTAGGTCTCAAATGAGCTTCTCAGTTTGGAAAAAACTAATAAAACCTCTTAAAATTACAAATCAAAATCTGCCTGATGCGATGCAAATGAAGCAAGTCTTCACTTCACAAGCAAGAATTCACTTGTAACTCAGATCAGAAGCTCCAATCCGTATTTCTTAGTGACTAATGAATATGGCCTCTGCAGACCAATTTCTGTTCCACTCTATTTAATGGCTGAAACAGTATCAGTGTGAGCAGTTTGATTCTTCTGTTACCCATTAGAGAAAGGGGGAAGAAAATCCTTTCATGCCACTCCAAAGTATCTTCCACCTGCCGTTGTGGAGGCTTACAATACGGACAGAACGAGGATATTAAGATGGATTAGGCTAATTAATTTTGCTCCTGACAATAGCCCCAACTAACTTTTCTTATTCATTTAGGCATAGAGCACAGTGTTCTGGTTGTGACATCTTTTGTTTTCATTTCCATTGCTTTTGAAATTGATCACCCGCATTATATGTGTGCTTAATGACACATAACTAGGTAAATGGGACGTGGTAAACATGGTGATTCAGCAATGCATAGTATATACAGTACATGGCTACATTATGCATTAAAGTAAGAATCTCCCTGCAATTGATTGTTTGATTACTATGATTGATTGGATACTTTTGCCAGGTGAACATAGTGGCAGTGTTTGCACAATCAAAACCTAACATGAGAAGCCAGAATATGTCTAATTTCAGTGTACATACATTTCCTTTGCTACCACTTCATTTTATCCTTTGTGAGAGCAGTGAACAAACCAGGAAACTACAGTTAACCATAGCTTCCAAATGCATGTGAACTGGAAAAGATGGTTATTGCTTACTCTAGCAAGCCAGATTTGGAAGCCAACTTTCAGCCATGGTTTAAATCCTAGTTTGTTTGGAAATCAATAACTAAAGTTCTTGATTTATAGTGACTTTTCTCACTTTGATAAAGGGGAAACCACAGCTGGTACATGCAACTTCTAAATATTCTGATGTTAGGATTTGATCATTTGAACATGGTCAGTATTTTCACATGATCTTCCTTCTCTCTTCTACCTTCATATGATGCTGTGCAGATGTACATTTTTCTTCCTAATATACATATAATTCTGTGGGATCAGGCCACTACTACATATTCTTTAACACTGATTCCATGTTAAAGTCCTCTGTTTCTGCAGTGGATCAGCGTTCAAAAGAACTTTAGTTTGGCACCAAAGGCTTTCAAATGAAAGTAGTCCCCGTTTTTATTCTTCAATATATTAATGGCATTTTTTTTCATAGCTTTCTAAGGTATGTTATGAAGATGCTCTAAAAGGAGACGTAGCTCTTTTGTCACTAAAACACTGTAAATCATGTTAACAGTAAATATTACAATTGTGGCATGATCATGTTAGGAACTCTTTCATGCTGCCGAAGGCAGTAGAACCTAACATTTTTCTAATGAATGCAGGCTATTGTTGACACGGTGGACAACCTGCTTAGGGCTGAAGCTCTGGAATCTTGGAGAGATATGAATTCTTCTGAACAAGCACATGCTGCAACAATGTTACTTGATACACTAGAAGAAGGGGCTTTTGTCCTGGCAGACAATCTGTTAGAACCAACAAGAGTCGCAATGCCTACGGATCACATTGGTAAGTGAATGTATCCTGAAAAGGCAGGTGCCATGGTGGGGAAGGAAGGAAGAATGCATCAGATGTAGTGATTTGGGATAATCAAATAGAAAAGCATGGTTCACCCACTTAGGAATGAGTAAAAATTAAGATTATCACCAGGTACCATAATTAATGTTGTAATAGGTAAAAATATTAATAGGTGATGTGCTGTTCATAGTGCTGATGTTGTTTAATGTCTAAGGACACATGCTTATTCTTATTTAGGCAGAAAAATGCCCTGCAACTCCTAGTATTTCCTAGCTAGTCATACCAGTTCAAATTTAGCCAAAATTCATTAGGCTGATGCAAAACATCATTCTCTTAACCTCCTCCTAGTGTCCACCATACAGATGTTAGAATATTGGTTTACCTTAAAAAATTATTTCAGGACCACTACCACAACAGCAAAACATGAAAGCTAAAATGTGCATTTAAATTAACTGAAATGTTTGCTGTAGAAGAATCTTTTCCCTTATATATTATCAGTTGCTAGTGAATGAAGATCACTTGCAGGTGGAATGCTGTCCCAAGTTTAGGTACGAAGTGCATGTACTAAATATTTTGATTAATCCTAACTCCATTAAGGTGAAAATACGTTAACAGAGCTACTTTTTCCAAAGTACTAAAAAGCCATGCTTCACAGATAATAATAAATCACGTTCAATAGCTATTTTCTTTTAACTGCTGGCAGGGAGATTAAACTACCTTGTATCAGATGCAGGTATATTTTCTTGTACATCTGACTATTGTATGTAGGAACTGTCATTCCTTTGGTATTGTTGTCACTCCATATATGTTTTGGCAAGTTTTACATAGAGCACACGTGTGTGCATGTGTGCTGTTGGGCATGCATGTCATCATTTGTTTTTCGGCGCCAGGCGAAGACCTTTGTATTTAAGCAGCGTTTTAAATGTTAATATTATTGAATTTTATCTGGCCAGGGCGGCTTATTTTATATTGTATAGTTGTATTTTATTTTAATGTATATATTTTAATTTTTACTTATGAAGACCTAACTTATTGTTGTAAGCCGCCCTGAGGCTTCAGCGAATGGGGCGGCATAAAAATGTTTTAATTAATAAATAAATAAATAAATAAATACCCATATATATGCCCACACATAAACACACATCAGAATGAGGCTAGGCCTAGAGGTTGAAGAATTAATTAATACAAGGAAGATCAAGCAGTTTACAAATACTTAGTAATTACTTTAGAAACTAATTTTTCAGCATCTTTACTTGGAGGTAAACCATTCTTAGATGCAATAGCACATACAGTCCGAGAAGTATGTTTGGGATTACAACCCATGTTTTAACAAGAGGCAAACTGTTGAGGGTTGAAATAATTTTCAGTTATTTTTGTCATGTGCACGCACTCAGAAGAGTCTTGTGTGCATAAGGGAGTGGAGATGCTTGTGAAAACCAGAGCCCCAGAGAAGAGGAGTTAATCGTTGTCCCAACAACAGTACAAAACTCTCACCCTCCTTCCCCAGATGTTTTTACTAGCGTAGAAACAGATGGGGTTTTGCTACCGGAAGAAGAGGCCAAGATGCAGGAGCAAGACTCTTAGAGAGCAGCTACGGGACTAGATACTGATATGAAGTGCGAGAACAAAGCTGAGTTTGAGGATGCTCGTTCCCGCAGGCACACTCGAAGACTGGGGGCAGATGGAATCTCAATTAGAAGAACAGCGACGACTGCACGTTCAGAGCGCCCCACCTCTGGGGGTGCATCCTCGGCGGGTTCATAAGCAAAGCATGAGGTTAAGTTAGGTAGAGTGAGAGGTCAGCTTTCTATCCTGTTTATGTTAACAGTGGTAAATTGTTTGTAAGATCCTTTTGTAGTTGTTTAGAATGAAGACTTTGGTAGCATCTGCTGGAGTGATTGCTTTCGTTGGGAAGGGGTGCCTGGCTCATGACAATTTTGTTGTTTGAAACATAAGAGGAATATCCTGCAATGAAGGTTTGTTTATTATTAGTTAATTGAGATTGGCCTCACCAAAGAGATGCTTGGTGCTTCAATGAAGCTAGTCACCTGGGAAGAACACAGGTGCTTTAATTATATTTCTATCACCCTTTGCTTAAATTGGGCATCAGGATGGTCAGAAACAGCACCACTATATACTCAGTAGATGCAGCAATTTCTCTGATCTTCAAGGGCCATGGCTTGCACAGACTTTATTATATGCAGCAATTGACAGAGCACATGTGGAAGTCTCCTTTTGCATACGCATTGCCCTTGCTTGATTTGGATAATAGCATGGTTGACACTTCCTTTCTTCTTTCTAAACATATCATTTTGAGCATTGATAATAATGAGGTATTAAATTCAGGGTTTGACAGCTTAGATAGATAACCTTATCATTAATATTTTATTCACCACCATTTTAATAACTAGCTATGTGGACTGCCTTTTTAAAGCTTCCTTTTTGTATAAATATTGGCTAGTAAGTGTCAAAAATCAACTGACAATAGTGTCATTTTAAATATATATATATATAAAGCTAATTTACAAAAAAAAGTGTGTGTTTCTCATTTTCCTGCTAGCACTATCTTCTCTACATGCAAGGGCACTTTTTAATTTAGTGAATATTGCCCATGACTTGACACTATATATATATATATATATATATATATATATATATATATAGTCGGGGAACTAATAGGCAGGGGATATTGGATCTCCAAAAGGGCTAAAAAATACAAAACAGAGCTGTGAGATGGTATTGCTGACTGCTCTTACCATCCTGCCAGCTGGATGATCCATTTATCCACGTGTTCATGGATAATGCTTATGTGGAACTTGCATGCATACAGTAGCCTAGTCCATTCACTAGAATGAAAAAGGAAGCTTCACATCTACAGAAAGGCTGGTGTGTGGAAGCTTCCCCTCCATGGAAGTGAATAGGTCACCCCACTCATAATTGCAGTTCTGTGGGTTATGGTATATCTGTTAGCACATTTCATTTTGGTTTAGAATCAAAGGCAGAGACAACTAAATAACTCTACAACATGTAGTTTCACAAAAGGTATTTTAAAAGTGCAATATTTTCAATTTCCCTAAAAGTCTTCTGGGCAAGGCACAGGTTTACTTCATGTGCCAACATGTTTCAGATCTTCAGGGATGCTGCTGTAAAGCTACTATAGGAAATGCAGCCATTAGTATCTTCAAATACTGGATAAAATACTTTTAGGTTTATTTCTATTTTTGTTAGATTTATAGCCCACCTTTCTTTGAGGAGCTCAAGGTAACTTGCATGTAATCCTTTTCCATTTTTATCTTGGCCTATAAGATACTGTAGGCTAAATAGTGACTGGCTGAAGTGAGTTTTACAGTGGAGCAGATATTTAAATAAGTGGCTTCCTAGCCCATGTCCAGTATTCTTAACTTTTACACTACAGTAGCTCTCTGTTGCTAAGATATTAGTCTTAGCGACAGCAGGTAGAATGTAATTGCCAATATGCTTGGGTTTCCAAAAGTTAAGAATTTTTCCCCATTAAGTACTTGTGGGATTTTTGAATTTTGATATCTTTTAAGCTCACATTAAAATCAGATTGAATGTCATGTTCTTTGAACTGAAGTGCTATTACTTTTGTGGCATCTACACTCAGCATGATTAAAATTTAAAGAAAAGAAATGTCTCCATGTTGTTGAAATACATCAGTACACACCTGTCATGTGCAAGCAAACAAAAGCAGCCAAATAGGAAACCTTCCCCCAAAAGACAACAAACATACACAAATCTGATCACAAAAAAATCTTGTTTTTGCTTTTGGTCCATCTAGTCCTTGAAGTTGCGGTGCTCAGTACAGAAGGGCAGGTGCAGGACTTGAAATTTCCTCAGGGCAATGCAGGAGGCAATTCAATCCAGCTCTCTTCAAGCACTGTGAAACAGAACAGCAGAAATGGTATGTCTTTTGCAAACGATTTATTTTTAGCCCTAGCAACTTAACTCTCACAGTGCAGTGTGTGAATACACCCGCAACAACATTAAAAAATAGTTTGTTACCATCTCTCATTTGTACATAAAATGTTTGGCTAGCACTTTTCCTTGGAATCAATTCTTCTGTGCTAGTTTTATATCACAGTGAGGGAGGTCAGGGGAAGAGGATATTGGAGACACGTTGAGTACTTTCAGGTCAATATAATGGAGTTTTCTTTTTCCAGGGCTAGCAAAGCTGGTTTTCATAATTTATAAAAGCTTAGGCCGGTTCCTCAGTACCGAAAATGCAACCATAAAACTAGGAGGCGAGTTTGCCGGCAGGAACAGTACCATTGCTGTGAATTCTGATGTCATTGCAGCCTCCATCAACAAGGAGTCCAGCCGTGTCTACTTGACTGATCCTGTTCTTTTCACCCTGGCACACATTGATGTGAGTTATAGTAATGAATTAATGGGAAGGTCATAAAATCAGCAAGAGTGAAGAGCCGGGGGAGGGGGGGAATCTTTGAATTTGAATTTCAAATGTCGGGCTAGGTCAGAAGCACAGGTTTATTTAAGTCTACGAACATAAAATTAAATGAGCCTGGTTCAGTGATTATTAGAACTTAAGTGTATTCTTAATGAAAGCTAATTCAGTAATCAACATGAAAATGTAAATGGCTCTAATTTGTTCCTAAGTGAAATTAACTCTTACCTTAGCAGCAGGGCAGAAAACACAAGCTCTTACAATTTTACTTGCTTAATGTAGCAAAATTTAAATGGGACTTAGAGCATTTCACTCTAATTTCATATTGTCTTCTGGAACCTATCAATCATTCAAGTAGGTTTTAGCTGGTGCAGGATTGCTAGGGGCTGGTTTCTGTGCAGCAGCTTTATCCAGTCTGTTTGTCTTCAGCTGATTTCCAAGGACTCTCCAGGACATATTGGCATACTGCTTTACAGTCTTGGTTGGGGCTTTCTGTTTACCTAAAGCATCAAAAAGGCTTTTTAGAAACAAACAACAGACTATGCATGGAAGGAAGCCCACTTGCACAAAGGAGCTTTCTTACTCTCTTCTCATTGCACCCAGAACCTATTTTGAGGATGCACATGGGTTCGATATAGTTCTTTTAATAGAAGCAGCTCCATCAGTGAAAAGCTTCATTGGATTTCACCCCATGTGTTTTCCCCAGATTAGTTTTTGGAGCAGTTTAATTTGTTGAAGATTCCAACTGCTCTTCTGCTCCTGTAGATCTGATCAAAATTGGAAAAGTGAATGCATCACTAAATCTTCAATTATTTAGGAACCACTATAGAAAAGCTACATGTTTCTACTGCTGCAGGATGAAAAGAGAATGGCCACAAGTGGACAGCATGAGCATTGAAATACGAGCTGAAAACTGTAATTGATTAAGGTTAAATCTTCAGTAATATGGACTGTACTAGTACTATAGCATGCTTTAGACTATAATACTTACTTTTAAACTAGCTTGCAGGGTTATTCAACAAAGCCTTTCAGCTAATCTACCTAGCTTTCATCCAGGGTTACACTAATTATACTTGTACATGAATTTTATTATAGTTTGATTAAATGCCTTTGATTAATTATGATCCAAAATTGCAGACCTCAAAAATGTAAAATCAAATCTAAATTATATTTCATGCATATGATACCATATATTCATGATATTACATTCTGTTTTTTCTTTATCCTGGTATTTCACAGCCTAACAATTATTTCAATGCCAATTGTTCCTTCTGGAACTATTCAGAACGGACTATGATGGGATATTGGTCAACTCAAGGTTGCAAGTTGATTGACACAAATAAAACTCATACCACATGTGCATGTAGCCACCTAACCAACTTTGCAATCCTCATGGCCCATAGGGGAATTGTGGTAAGTAACCATAGTTTTAATCAGCAAACACACACCATTTTGAAGAACCAATTAATATGCTAAATGTTGAACAATCTAGAAAGTCAAATTTTATTTAATATTTCTGCATATCCTATTTCACAGTTTTCTATGACCTATGTTCTCCAAAGTACATAATGTAAAATAATTTTTAAAAGAATATTTCTTCAACTTCTTGTATTTAATGCTTTAAAAAGTGTCCCTTCTCAGCAGCCCTATTCAGATATTCTAGTAGCATGTTCAGTAACTATGAGAAGAAAGAGAATGATAATGACCATACTATTTTCCTTGCTGTTGCTCTCCTGGATGCCCTGGACATAGTTTCAGTGTGAGGTTCTGCAGTAGGGACCCTTTTCTATCTGTATGGGCTCTTTAAAGTGATGCAGAAGCCTGGAAAATCAGCGTTCTAAACAAAAAGAACACAAGAGTAAACCTGCAAAGAAAGCAATAAAAACAACAAAAGCCAGTGCTAAAGGAATGATTGGTGAAGGTATAAACATCAACCCCTTAAAAGAATGCTTCTGAGAGAAATAGAGAGTCTGCTCTGTATTCACGGTGGAAACTAGATCATGGTAATGGGAATTACTGGCAGTCGGTGACATGGGAAATAATCCTGTGACAACTGGACATTGCACAGGAAGCCACAGGATAGTTTGGATACCCATCTCCAATAGTGGACAGCACTCTGAATTCAAAGAGCTTACTGTCATCCTTGTTCCATTGCAGTTAGAAATAACCACCAGCTGCACTCTGAGGTCAGAATAACAATCTTGGAGGTGGTTAAAGGGGACATATTGGTGATCTGGAAGGGGAGGAGAATGGAGTGCCCAGGATAGGAGGTATCCTGAAGCTACTGCAGTCCCTTTCCTTCCCCTTTGAGGTTCAATCAATAGATAGCCAAAAATATCCGGAGAGGAGGAGCAAGGATGTGAAAATCTCCTCTGCAGTTTCTCCCACTCTGCATTGGAGGCAGGCAAGCTTCTAAGTTTGGGGACTTAGAGGCATTCCCATCAGATTATGTCCTAATAGTGTTAATATGTGTATGCATTATCAGTATCAGGAGGATGCCACTTTTGATGACATCATGGGATTAAGCCATAAAAGAAATAAAAACTGATAGATAAGAGGAATAATACAGTACAAAACATGTACATGACCCAGAAAGTCCCACTATCCATGCCACAAAAGCACATTTACAAGATAGCGTAGATATGCATGCAAATAATGAAGTCACTATTTGCATGTACGTCTACTGTGTGATGTCAGTGTATTTGGATCCATTTTCTGTTCCAGCACCTATGAACAGAACAATTGGTACAATGATCATGATTTCATCCAAACTCTGTACAAAGTTCTCCAAACATGTGCAGGGTGCTGTGTAAATGGCCAATACAGTTACAGAACTGGCAAATACTGTAAATCTGGGAAAACTCAAAATACCAATAACTATGGCTATAGTTTTGAAAGTTCTTCTCAATATTATGGAGCTACAGCACAATCTACAGAAGATAAACTTAATCATCACTCATTTGACCATAACATTGGCCAAAAAGCTTGATAGGCTCTCTGGACCCTAACGAGATTTATTCATATTTTCTATTTATGAATCATACGTGTATATTGAAAAATTCTAGTGCCATTGAATTTTCATCAGAATCAGAAACGATAATGTATTTGTTTAGTCAATATAGCAATTGTCAATTTTTCCATAATGCCCTTTAAGTTTGTTGTCATTGTTAAGTTCATGTCACATTTCCATCTCCATCAACAATGCACAAAATTATATTATTATTGGTGAGCTAGGCTTCTGTGTCACTCATAAAATAGGTTCTAACTGTGATATTTTAGCTTTGCATTGATCAGTGATGACACTAATTTTCTTCACTCTTCATCATTTCCAGTACAAAAATGGAATGGATGGGTTACTCCTTACTGTCATCACCTGGGTGGGGATTGTCATTTCCCTTGTCTGCCTGGCAATTTGCATCTTCACTTTCTGTTTCTTCCGTGGCCTTCAAAGTGATCGAAACACAATTCACAAGAACCTTTGCATCAACCTCCTCATTGCAGAATTTATTTTTCTAATAGGCATTGATAAGACAGAATATAAGGTAAGCTGTCCTTATTTAACACATCTGTCAGGATCCCCCCCCCCCCCAGAAAGTAATTGGTACAGCAAGGTCAGAGCTAGATTTTGTTAGCAAACAAAGAAATTCCAAACGTGTTTTTGCTATTTTTTTCCTTGATGGATGAGTGCTTGGAGAAAGGCATTGTAGAAGAAATGCTGCAGGCAGGGAAAAGGTTAAGAAACTCCACTCCAAGCTGCTGCTGCTCCTGCCCCACCATAACCCACTTACTTTATACTTGAGAGCAAACGAGATTGAGAATTCTGCATTTAAACTAGAACAAATGCAAAGGCAAACCAGTTTGATTCAGCTCTATATAGCAGGTGGAATGCTACTGTGCCACAAAAATGAATTGGATATTAGCTTTAAAATATAAGAAATTCAGTTCAAGTTCCATTAAAATGGTAGTTGAATAAAAGATGATGCACCAGTTAAGCAGTAAGATTTGATGGGGGCAGTGAGACAGAGGAGCTATATGTATGAGTAGTTGTATGTATAAGTAATAAGTGTTGTGACAACAATTTAGATTGGCATATGGATGCATAGCATGACCACTGTGGAAAATCAGTGATAAAATTTCAACAAAAATTAGATCAGACTGCTCATTGATACAAATGGAACTAAGGTGGCACAGTTAAGTGCTGAATTTTTGGATAGTTTTAGTTGAACTTTGTTGTATCTTCCTGTAGGTGCATCCTGTTTCTAATGATGCAACAGAACCTTGCATAGACATGCAGTACTTTCCTGTCTTTGGAAGGAGACAAAGGCTGTGGAATTCTTTCCTTTGCTGTATCTTTACTTCTTATTTCAATACATGAGACAGAACCATGGCTTTCTAAAATAAGCTTTGCTCAGAATTGAGTCAGTAGAATTTCATTCAACTCTCAGTTACAGAGGAGGGAATGTAACTTGGCTAGTGATATGACAGCAGATCTTCCTAAAAATAGAAAAGCAAGGATATTTGATATTAAAGGAAATAGAATATTCTGACAGTGGAATAAGAATTTTCAACAGAAGGTATAAATAATACATCTAGTGTCTCTTTATCTTCCTGTACAAAATCATCTGCAATATAAGCCTTACAGAAGAGTGTTAACATTTCACTACCAAAAATTAATGGACTGCTTTCTAGACTTGATATTCCATTACACTGAAGAATGCTAATAGGCACATATTTTCCATATCTTCACTCACAGAGTGCAACAGAGGAGATGCTGTAGTTACTGGGAACACAGTGGAGTTCACAATCCACAATATAGTTTCAACAGTTCTGAATACAGTTTCCTTTTAAGAGTTTTTTTGACTGTGCATATGCTGTCAGTACACTCCAAGCAGTCACTGTTAGATGCATATTATTTCAAACTCTGGAAATGACAGATTAAATGGGAAGGTTGCAGTTTGCATCTGATTGTTTCTCTTTCTTTGCAGATTGCATGCCCAATATTTGCAGGCCTCTTACACTTTTTCTTCCTGGCAGCCTTTGCCTGGATGTGCCTAGAAGGGGTGCAACTCTATCTCATGTTAGTAGAAGTATTTGAAAGTGAATATTCTAGGAAGAAGTACTACTATGTTGCTGGCTACCTCTTCCCTGCCACAGTTGTTGGTGTCTCAGCAGCTATTGACTATACCAGCTATGGAGCAAAGAATGCGTAAGTAATTGCTAGTGACCTGAATATTTGTATGAATAAAGCATCTGAAAGCTTTAATGGTAAGGGGATGCCAATGCTATATGCAACTTCCAGTTGGGTGTTCTGTTGTTTACTAGGTTCAGAGAATGTGTTTCCCCGCAAGTCAGATCATAAATTGCAACTTTTCTTATTAACACAGAAGATTGACCTGAAACAAATTGGTAAAAAGTAAATAATTGTTTGGGCCTCAAATGGATATTAAATAAAATAATGATAAAATTTTCCTCTGCTTAAAAGTATCTGATGGACTTAACTCTGAGCTTTTAAGCTGATGCTTCGTTACATTTCTTTGTTCAGCTATATTCCAGCTAGCTTTCTTTCTGGACTATGATAGCCCATGTGTTTCACTTTGATAATATTTTATCAGGCAGGAAAGAACAGGATTAAAATTAGCCATTGCCTTTTATTTATAAAAATAGAAAGATATATAAAAAGTGACAGAAGGTAGACACAAATATTTGTGAGGATTTATGTTGCTGGAGGCATAAATGTGCCTTCAAATAGTGCTTGCGTTGTCCTTTGATGAAATTAGTTACAGTAGGGGCACATACTGTTGAATGCAAGAAACCTGCTTGATTTTGCTGTTGATGAAAGACAAAGAAAAGTGATTCAGCAGGGAGATGTGAAGTGAGTTCTGATAAGCTGACACGTAATTCAGTGTAATAGTTTGTTTTTGTTTTAAGTATTGAATTTCTAGTTGGCAGCTGGGGCATTTTATTGATAGTCTACTGTTGTACAGGAAAACAACCCATTTTGGTTAAAACCCTTGGGAGTAAGCCCCACTGAATTCAGTTGTACTATTAATTATTTTTTTGCAGATTGGCATCTTAATCTGCAATGGACAGTTATTATTAGAGTCTGAATGTCCCTCAAAAAGTGTGTATGTGGGAAACCCAACATGTATTATCTGCCTGGGCTTAAAGGCCTATACAGGAGGCTAAAATAATAATAATAATGACTCTAGATGTTGAACAAATGCTATGTTGAGGCCACGTTAAATGATTTGTCATGGTGGCTGTTTTTATCTAATAAGCCCTTTGTGTTGGTTAGCATATCACAATTTTCTTCATGCTCTTTGGCAATGAGTCGCCAGTAGGTCTCACCACCTCACTTACTTTCTAAAGCTTATTTAAAGAGAGAGAGGATAAACATAAATGTGTGCCCATATCATGAAGGTTAGGATTAGAACGGCCCAGGTTCTGAAAAAAACTTTAAAGGTAGTTGTTCCACACCTCGGCACCCCCCTCCCCCCTTTTAGGGATGTGGTTGTCATTAGAGTTTTCAAAGTGGTTGAAGAAAATCACGGCTTTTAGGCCGTGATCAGTGATGGGAAATGTGATGACCAGAGTAAGTGATCAGCACAGGTATTGGTGAATAATCCGATACACTTGGGGCTGACGTGCTTATACATAGACTATTGTTCAGAATTACCTCATTATGAGCTCAGCACAAACAGACTGAATTAAAACTCAAACTGCATAACTTATTTTCTCAACAAAATACTATTTTTGGAACCCTGGAAAAATAATTTGGTATCCTTGTTCATGAATTATTTTCCTACTTTGCTCTCTCATTCATGTCCAGGAATAATTAGCCTTCCAACTAAGATATAAGGATGCAAAACACCTAGTTATGTGTACGTGCATTTGCCAAGATGTGCTTCCTGTAGATCTGCATTCAAGGCCACTGCTAAAAAGTCACATCATAGCCAGAAAAAATCCATGTGAATAAGTCCTAAGAAATGTTTTACATTTCTATATGTAACATGGAGAGCATGACGTTTTATCATAACATGTTTCTTCTGTTTTCTGTAATAGTTGCTGGCTCAAGGTTGACAACTATTTTATCTGGAGTTTTATTGGGCCTGTTACCTTCATTATTCTGGTAAGAATGTGGTCTCTCTCATTTCTACCCATTTGCCTACCTCTCCTCTAGTTCACTTGATTTATTACAATGGCAGAAATCAAAAGATATCTATGATATTTAGAATCAAAATATCTAAAGATAATTGTATAAAAAGGTAAACATGGCAGATCAGTGTCCTCCTTTGAAATGTGTAAAGACTACTTTCCACACAGGTATCCACATGCACATTTGATGACAAATGCATCTCTAGAGTAGGGAACATTTCTGTGATGGTACATAAATTATTAATCTTAGTGTTAATTCAAGCAGAACCCATTTCTCCCTTGAGGAGATACTTCAGAGACTTAAGTATTTCCTTCTGGTTCCTGAGCTTCTCAGATATATTGTTGTCATTTATTAAGTCTTTCCCTGCCTCCTTGATTAAAACCATACAGTTGTTTGAACAACAGGGGGGCTGTTCCTGGACTCTAATTTATATATTTATTTAGTTTGTTAATTTGTTTTATTTATACCTTGTTATTTGTCCATAGAATTCAGAGCTTCTTCCAGGCACTGGTTAAGCCAGGTTTCCTACAGTTTCAGCAGTTAAACAAAAGTCATGTACCCCCAGACCATTCTGTCACTGCAGTTCCATAGTGAAAATATCCATGATTTATTTCCGACACATTTCTTTTATGATGATATCATGTGTAATTGCTTTAAGGGTCATTTATTATTCTGGATGTACTGAGGCAAAATTAACTTTGTCCATACATGAGTATTTTAGAAATTGTTGTGCAGTTCAACTCCTTGAAGTATTATATGCATTGAGGCCTATCTGTGACAGTTAATGTCAGTCTGTAAGTCTGAGCCAGCCTTTATCCTGTATTGCAAATAGCTACCAGTTTCCTCAGTGAAACCATGTTGTAAGTCCAGGTACTACTTATTGTACACAACATGATGGCCGTTCTATCAACCATACTATCAGAAAAACAAAACACTAAGTACATCATTGGCAACACTTGAAAACACAATCTCTGGAATTCATAAAACAGACACAAATGGCTTGGATCCAGAATTGTGAGGGCAGAACTTTTCTCATGCAACAAATTTTTCCTGCCATCTTTTCAACTGCATCTTCCTGTGCTCCCTTCTTTTTAAGGCTTCTCCTGAGAGTCAGGGACCCACCTTTGTAGCAACACATCATGGGTTTTGAGACAGGACCTGGAGGACAAAAAATGATGTTTTCATATTTCTTCAATGCTTTCCTCTTCCTCCACCCACTTTTTACTGCATCCCATGGCAATCGAGAAAACTACTGTACTGCCAGGAGTAGCTTTTGGATGCTCACAGCACACTGCAGCAGAAAACCGCGGGAATTTGGCTTTGTTTTTGGTTAGAATATGGATCTGTCATGCTACACTGGATCAAAGTCGATATTTTCCCATCAAATTCATGGAAAAGAAGTATAGTTAGACATACTTGATTAGATAGCAGAAATGCCATTTTGCTTGATCACTGACATGCAGTATACAGGAGCTGTACTGTACAGCTAGTTATAGCTATATCACAATGTGATTAAGGATTATAACAGCAAGTAATATATTGTATATCCTTACCAGCATGTCTTCATTAATTATATACTCTCATGTACTCCCAAGGAATGATTTCATGGTTGCAGCAGTATGAGGGCTGTTTGCAGCTTTATTGTTTTTTAAGGAGCCAATCTCAGTAGTATGTCCTCAGGAACATGGTTTGTCAGTTTAAAAACCTACCTTATTTAAACAGGATCTCCCTTTTTCCAGCTTTGTCTTCAAACAAGAAATGTGCATCATGAGAGAACACTAAAAGAAGTAGATTACTATGCTCACAAACCTACAAGGATCTGTTCAGGTTTTATTTTATCTCCTTGACTGCACAAAAGAAACCTGAAACAGCAAAACCCCTTATATTTGTTTGCTTATAAAACTAAAGCATTGCTTAGTGCTATTTACATGAGCCAAAACGAAGCCAGGTGAAGCCTTCCACTATTTTTCTCCTTCCTCAACTCCAGGAAAAGGAAAGACTTTGGTAGCACTTGGTTTCACTTTCAAAGGATTCTGGCTTCATGTGCAAATCAAAAATCCAGCTTTAAAACAAACTCTTGATTAGTTACACAAGCCAGCTTCATAACTAATTTGTTTAATATTGTCTGGCTGAATTAACCAGATGTGTTGCTCAATCTCATGCATGTGGTGCTAAACTTTCATCTAGTGCAACTTTTGAACCAGCCCAGTGTCCTGGTTTGCATGACACAAAGTCCACCATGGTTTTATTTATTTGCTGAGGTGGCTTTAGTGTGCATGGACACCCATGGATATCAAGGTTGTTGTGGCTTGTGTTATCCAGACTCAGATGGCAGGGATTGTTTGAGGCAGATACAACCTTCAAATAATCATAAAAGAAGCCACTATATTTCCATATATCAGTTGCATGTGTAGACCAACATAGTGAAGCTGCTTGTACCATGATAAATCCTAGGCTAATTAACACCGTTTGCTGAAGTGAGATTGGAGTGTGTTCTACAGACCTTTAAAAAAATTCATCTGAGCCCAGACACTATTACTCATGGGTTGAACAACATACAATTAATCTATCAATTAACCAATTTGTTTCCAGTATGAACAAACTTGGCCAGTGTGGAAATTAAGTAGCTGAATGTGATAAGTGACTCTAACTAAAGTTTAGTAAGTCAGGATTTTACTATGACTCTTCTTTTCTTCCCCTATTTTTTGTTCTTTTTTCCTTTCTTTTCTTCGCCTGCCCCCACCCCAAAGCCACTGCAGTATTTACTGTGAGCACTACTTTTTTCAGGTTGCCCCCCACCCCCGGAACAACCCTCTAAATATCATTACACTTTGCGTGGGCCTTGGTATAGCTGCAGATATTGGTGTTTCCTTGTAACCAGGTCAGAGTGAAAATCAGAGTGAAAGACATTTCATCATATTGACCATGTACAGTCAGTCTACTATTATTTACCGGCCATGACATTATTATCTGCCTGCAAATCATTTAGGCTGAGAAGTGAAAGTCTTTTGGGAGCAGTATTCCCAACTTCAAAAAATATGAAACAGCAGGTAGCAATCACTGTGCAGTTCCTAGGAGTAATTCTTCTCTGGCAATTGCTTTGCCCTCTAATCGTCCCAACAAAAAAAAAAAACAAAAAACAAAAAAAGAGGAAGTGTAATGGGAATCGTGTAACTGCAGAAGACCTGTGTGTGTACTTAGTGTGTGTACATTATCATTCAAGACTTTCATATTACAGTCCTTATAAAAATATGGTGATACTTCTGTTGCTTCTGCAAGAGCTGCTGGTGGTGCCATTGAACAATTTATTTAACACTAGCAGTGTGTCACAGTTTATATGGTATAGTTGGAAGTGGGAATGTGACCGTCACATTCAGTTCAGGAAAATACAGAGAATTGGCAGCTTTTGTTTTTAAAAGAGGATGCATTTTCCCTTATGTAAAAGGACAAAACAAAATTGAGTTCTTATTAATAAACTTTCAAAAAATTCATGTTAGAATGTGTCAAGCTTTTTTTTTTAGGTCACTTCTCACAAATGAAACGCTTACAATTTGCAAAAATTCCCTTTCCTTTCTAGAAACATGTTAGCTGTGCTTGGGCTGTAGTGCTACATGCGTTACTGTAAGTGGCTAGTGCACAGGTCTTTCTGTATTTAATTCAATCAAAGAGTGATTTTCATAGAAGTTTAAACCTCTCTTTTGGGTGGGGAGGTTGATCATACTGTAACAAATGTTTAGGTAGATTAAATATGTGCAATTGCCTTTACATGGCCATAATTCATTATATAACAAGCAGAAACTTGCAAAGCTTAAAGTGCAGTTTAAGAAATGTTACTTGAGCAGCAGAGCATATACAGACATGCCAAATAAAACACAGCATGCCAAAAAGTAGTGCCACTTGATCAGTTTCCTGGTAATCACTTAGAATCATAGAATTGGAAGGTGCCATGGGGCCCACCAAGTCCATCCCCTGCTCAATACAAATTCTACTCTGCTGGATATAGCCACAGTTTATCTGACAGATGGCCATCCCTTCCCTGTTTAAATACCTCCAACCAAGGAGAGTTGGCAGGCCTAGTTTTTCCACTGTTCTTGCCTGTTTTGGCCCCTATGGCTTTTCTGAGTCTCACAAGACTAAAAGATTCTTCCGCCTCAAATGTAATTGCTGTTGTGCAGATAATCTGTGTGGTAGAAAGAACATGGCAGGACCACTGGCATGGAACTGGTGGCTATGGAGATAGCTATGATCCAGATCTATACATAGACAAGAGTCTCCCCAATTGTCAGCATGGTCTTTTGACTTGGCAAACTTCCACCATTCTCCCTTAATTTTCAAGAAGTATTATAGGCATTAAATTGATAATTAGATATTGGAAAACAGAGAATATCACCATTAAGAACAATTAGATAAATATAGCAGTTTTTGACAACCTAGTGCACACCAGATGTTTTGCATTACAATTCCAATTAACCCCAGCAAGTATGGCCAGTAGAAAGCCCTAAGGGTGCAGAAGGATCACCACCACCACCACCACCACATTGTGTTTATATCGTTCCTTTTTTCCTCTTGTGAAGAACCCAAGGCAGCTTACATAGCTCCATTTTCCCCTAACAACAATAGGAATACTGTGAGATCAGTTGGGCTGAGCTACAAGTCCAGAACTGGCCCAAAGTTATCTAGTGAGTTTTATGGCCAAGGGGGAGACCAGAACCTAGATTTCCCAGATCCCCATCCTGTACTCTAACAGAAGAGAAACATTGGTACTTTTGGTTTATCAGGTCACTATGAGAGTTTATATAATCTGGGAATGGTATTTGAGATAGTGGGAATAACATTACTGCAGCATGACACAAATTAGTATGTAGAAACCCAGCTGGCTGCTGGAGAAGCCCAGCATTGTATGTCCAACATACAGATTCAGTTCTCTGACCCTCCCCTGTCAGCTCCCAGAAAGTAAGTATTTTAGAAGCTATTAGGTTGTCATCCTAGCAGACCTAAGTGTGAGTCTCTTAAACTCAGTGGGGTTTACTTTTGATTAGAAATGCAAAGGATTGTATTGTTGTTGTAGTTGATGGTAAAGGTTATTGTAATAATCTGATGCAGAATTAGGCGACGAGTATTTTTCTGAAATTGGCTGATATTTGAGATGAGCTGGGCAGGAAATAAACTTGGAATAGTTGATTTCAAAATCTATGATTACAGCTTCCCTAGATTTTGTAACTGGGGTCCATGTGTCTACTGTGTTGGCAGGTATTTTCCTTGATAGTTCATTAGCTCTTGTTGTCTGTTGCCTTTTAAATGTTTTGGGTATGTACACAAATTTCAATACAGCATGTTTCCATTTAAAAAGAAGCATTTAGAATTAGCTTTACATTGTTTTTAAGTGGGCTATTAAATGGATCTTAAGTATGTTTAAGTACACCTAATAAGGGACAATATGCAAGTATGTTATGCCATTAGTACAAATGACATTCTACAAATGGAAAGAAGGTTCCAAACTACCCTGATGAGAAAATTCACCTAACATTAAATGTATGCTAGCAGTTCTCCATTGCACAAGCAGCTGCACATTGTGCAAACATAATGTACAGCTGGTTGTATGGCAGGATGATTCCCCTAGTGCTGTCTGATTTTGCAGAATAGATGCTGAATTGTAGGTTGTAGTTATACAGAAGTTGTGGTTTTGCTGAGGTGTTTTTTATTGTGCATTCTGCATTATTACTTTTATACTTAACAATAGTTTATATACCCTTTTCTAAGGCTTTTCTTTGTAGATCGGGCCAGATACTCAATGAAGTTACCATTTCTAGGAAGGTTAGAAGGAAAATGAGGCAGGATTTACAAAGCAGAATAATTGACTTTTCTTTCATGCTCTGTGCCTATGGGGCCTCAGGATTATTATATCTATAGAGGCGGGGCAACTTGTGTAAGTAATGAGTGGCAGAAAACCATTAGTATGTCTGAAATGATTTAATGAAAGCTTAGATCATGACATGTCAGGAGTTGTTCTGATCATTTGGACTGCTCCATCTGCATCTTTAATAATTAACTAAGTTCAGTAAGAGTTCAGCTTGCACGCTCATTTAGAAGCCTTCTTCAGAGAACACTTCTCTGGCTGCCAGTCCCGGAGAGGAATGGACTTCTGCATGGCTAGGAGCAAAGATCTGGAGATGCAAGAGCAATTTTAGAGCTGCATTTGTCAGGTAACAAAAGCTCCAGGGAGGACAAACAGGGTCAGAACATGTGCAGTTCAGTTATGTTACTTTAGAGTGGTGTTTCTGTTCTTCTGTCTTATCATATCCATGTCAGCACTTCAGGCTGTGTGGAATGAATTTTAAGCTGCTAAACTCAGGTGAATGTGATTCAATTGAGTAGGTTGGTGGCTATAAAACAAACAGTGTAAATGCTGGTTAGAAAAGCTTGGATTTTGACATTCATGTAATTCAAAATAGGTTGAGATTAAGTCCTTGGACTTCTACAAGAGAGCACCATGAACCTTGTGAATTGCCTTGGGAAACTCTACTGAATAAACTGTGGCCATGCTTAGAAAAAGTAAAGCTATTAAATTACACTTTCAAATTAGCTTGAGATCTTGACTGGTTCTAAGCATGGTAACCATAGTTTATCAGTTTAGATGTAATGGTTAATTGAAGATGTTCTGGTTTAATTGACGTTACAATGGCAGGGATTACATATATGGACAGACACCCCATTTTATGATTATTCAGACTCGGGTAAATTTCATTTGAGCCGCCTGTGTTTGTACCAAAGTGCTGGGTCCTTGTGCATGTTTCTCCATACAGTTAGGGATGTGCATACACAAGTCTACTTGGATTCAGATACGGTCCTTACTCAGTAGGTGTGCAGATCACATCTGATGGGGTATGAGAAATGATTCATCATGAAGAAGTTAAAGGGGAGAGTTATCCAAATAAATTTATGGTTTTATAACAGCAGAAATCTTTGTGTTGGAGAGTTTGAATCCATGGGTTGAAATAGCTACCATCAGTGGATTTCAGAACATAAAATACTGTAAATTACTTGCTGATTCTGCATTCAGAAATTATGCATACAAATTGTTATTACAAACAACCGCCATGAACTACAAATGTGTGTACTTACCTGGATAACAATGATAAAAATTAGTACAGTGAAAACTAGGCAAAATAATATTTTTTCATAAAAATGGAAAGTGGAAATCATTTACTTTAGATGTGCATTCTTTTCTAAGTCAATTGCCCTGCCCTTTCTGCTTTCCATCTTATATGATAAAATGCCAAGCCTTCCCATTTCTGTAACACATGAATATATTTTGGAGACCTACTTATTTAAAAGTACTTGATCTCCCCTGCCCCTATGATGAAAGGTTAGTGACAAAAAGGCAATGCATCATCACAGAGCTTCTCTCTTTGCTATGTTGCTTGTCTTGTTGTTTAAGTAAAGAATGAATAATGCTCTACTAAGTACTCAGAGCACAGGCAAATCAAGATTTCTGAATATTATTTTCAGATAGTGATTGGGGTTCTTTGGTTTACCGATTGAGCTTTAAATTATATCATATTTCACGGAGATGTGGGGGAGAAGTATGATATTCTCTGTTGTCATAGTTACTTTGTCTTGGGACTGTGGTACTTCATTATATTCTTGAAGAGACTTTCATTTTCACCTACTGTCATATTCATGAGCTTTATCATCTTAAACAAAGTACAGTGATTTGTGATTCTTTTGTCCCCACTGCCTGCCTGCTCGCTTCCCTCTCTTTCACTCACACACACAGACACACTGTGTGTGTGTGTTCCATACTTAAGAAAAGGCTCCAGTCATTTTTCCTAAATTGAATGTATTAATTTTGTATTGATGCATGTGTGAGTTGGATTTGGATCATGCATCAACATTCATGTAAACAGAAACGTGATTTCTTCATCAGCTTTAATACAGGCTGGTTTTTGATACTTTTGTGTACCCTTTAACCCCATCAGTAGTCTTCTGACATGAGTAGTATGATGAGAAAATAGTTGTGATCATAGTTATGGATGCTTTCAGTCTCAAAACTTTTTATTTTGTCTTTCGCTCCATAAATCATACCGATTTCCATAGCTGATATTCATGTGCACCCAGCTTATCTTTTACTTCTGCCAATAATCCAAAACCCCCATGTGTTAAAAAAAGTTGCTGTAAATAAAATTGGGCTTACAGATTGTGTGGCCAACTCTAAGTCCATATTGCACTTGTGTAAAAGTATCGTGGTCCTAGCAAAGTAGAAAGTAAAACAAAACAAATTGAAACAACTTTTATTTGCATAAAATCTTTGGCAACTCTAGCATTGTCAGCCGTGACAACATTGTGTATTGATTGCTGCCAAAAGAGTCTAATATTTTCTTTATCTATCATGCCAAGGAGAGGGGAGAATTTTGGAAGGCAAAGATCAAACTTCCCCCTCTCCAGATAGCCTTCAACTCCTAGGAGCCATCACCAGTAACTGTGCAAGCTAGGGCTTGCGAGAGTTGCAAGCCATATATCTGGAAGACCACAAATTGCCCACACCGCCTCTAAAGGGTGCAAGCAGAAGATAAACAGACAACAAAGAATTCAATGTGGAAACAGGGAGGTTAAAAGGAGGTAGCACTCCCAGTTAATGGGAAAGAACAGGGCAATAGGAAACAAGGAAAGGTGGGGTATGATTCTCACACCTAGAAGAAAGAAATATGGCTTCCTCAAGGAAATGCCATCGCTCAGTTTTTGGGATTCCTGAGGACAAGAAATCTATTAGATGGAAAAAGGAAATGATTGTGAGACTAGAAGTCAGGTCTTCCACTCTGGAAAGCTTGTATAAACCACACAGGGATCAGAGTAGAAAGAAAAGGGATCATAAAGGGGCCTTTTTAGTCTTCTAGGATTTTATTGCATTATCCATCCTTCCATCCCATGCAAATAATGGAGTAGCTGCAACCAATCATGGATCCCTGATTAATTTCTGTGCATGTTAGATATATTAATAGTATTCACACATTACATTTTAGGTGGACACATAAAGCATCAACAAATCAACATTAAATACAGCTGCAAGGTTGAAGACACATATAAACGTATACATGTATTTTTTGTAATATTACTTTTCATAAAAATGTTTAGCATTAGTCAGCATGTGGTATGAGTAAACCCAAGCTAAAGCATCAAGAAATATGTAAGATACATACTGTGAGATACATACTGGCCAGATGTTAACATTTCTTGATCTAATCCATATTTGCCACCACTTTGCTGAGGGTGTCCTGCCACCAGACCACAAAATAGTTCAGAAAATGATTACATGTTCCTTTTTTGTTTAGTCTAGAACATCATCATAAATCAACTTGTAACTTGAAGTAGTTTAATGTTACTGTTACCTGTTTTGACAGCTGAATCTTATCTTCCTGGTGATCACACTGTGCAAAATGGTGAAGCACTCAAATACTTTGAAGCCGGACTCTAGCAGGTTGGAAAACATTAAGTAAGTGTGTTGTGTTCAAATCCAAGAACGGTTATCTTCATTTTTCCAACTTATAAAAGCTCCCTTCCATTAGGGCATACGGTTTTGTCTCCTGGCAACCACAGATGTCTATTAGGAGCAAATAGCATCAGTCCTGCTTTTGCCACATTTATTGCTAAAATGTCACAGATGAGGGTCAACATTAAACTCCTTCTACTGGAATGGCTTTGGTGCCTTCATGGAACACCTACAGTAATTTCTTCTGCATTTTAAGTGTTATTTCAAATGATGTTTCCCCTTGCATTGCTGAAGTTGTTTTGCTAATTTGCATTGTTAAATTATTCTTGGATATTAAGGATTTGCACCAGTTTTCCCAGTCAAAATGGTCCCAAAGAAATTTTGATCCTATTACTGTTGTGATCTTAAAGTGTATCTGCTGCTTTCATGTTGTTGAATGAAGTGTTTCTTTTTATCCTGGTGTTTTACAAAAGTCACAGTATTTCCTTTCTGTAGTGTAGAGCAATAGCTTAATTTAATAAATAATAACAGCAGTGGATCACATACTAGGTCAGTTAGGCAACATAAGGACTTATCTTCCAATTTCAGTCTATACTTCCTTTGTGTGGTAAGGAGAACAGGTTTCTAAAAGGAAAAAAAATCAGGGTAATCTAAATAAAGTATATTGCCCTTGCATTGCCTACCCCTGCTTAGATCATTCGATATAGCGTTGCTTCAGACTGAACTGTTTTGCTTAGGAGGGACAGTTGGTTTTGATCATAAACACTCTAACTTAGACAAACTCTGTTGAGATGATTGGGGTTTCCAAGTGAATTGTGATTAGGAGTGGGCTCTTTAATTTTCTTTGAAGATAGAATACGGAAGAACAGATTTTACAACAAAGCTAATTTTACAAACAGGATGATGCTTAGATAGGTCACAATATCAGCTTCATTGCATGTTGCATGTTAAGAGAGAGAGAGAGCTAATCTTTAGCATCTCTCTCTTTTCTTCCTTTTCTTCTTCTTTCTGTCTTCTCATCCACACCAGTAATTACCGTGTTTGTGATGGCTACTATAATACCGACTTACCTGGGTAAGATAGAACCCTATATTAACAAATTAAAAGCATGAATAAAATTTTTTTTGCAAATTTGGACAATTTTATGGATTGTCTCTAACTTTAATTAACAACTTTGGAGAGATCTAATTTGCTAAACTATTTCCAGCTATTATATGCTTTTTATTATTTTAAACAGCTTGCGTCTGCACTTTGAATTTTCTAATTTTAATTAATTTTTGTATAAAATTACTAAAATGCTTTCTGATTAATTTCAATTTAAATTCTGTCTAATAATTTTGTTTCTCTTTTCTGCTTATAATGCTTTCTAGCTATGAAGATAATAAGCCATTTATCAAGTAAGATCATTAGTTAGATGTGGAATGCACTGAATTAAACCCTCTTTCCTTTTCATTCTGTGCTGTTCTCTGCAATTTCTTTTCTCTCCTGAAACTATTCACAATGAAATATCCTGTATAGTATAATCCTATACACATCTACCTAGAAGTATGCCCCATTGAGTTCAGTGGGACCTACTCCCAGGTAACTAAGTGTAGGATTGCAGCATTAAAGACTTATTTTGTGACTAAATCCATATATTTGTCACATTTCAGCAAAGCCTTTCATATGAAAGTTAGACTCTAGTCTCAGTTTAGCAAAGTTTTCAAGCTGTAGGTTATTGGATTTTGAACTGCGATTTAACCTTTATGTACTTGTGTTGCTTATGTGTGTGTCAGATGCAAACACAATTTTTACAATATGGGCCTCTATTAGCGGTTACATTAGACTTTTCAATTTCTTGTAAAATATACATCCACCCATTTTTGCAATCTTGAGTAAGAGATCATATCCACCACTGCTGTTTTCACTGAGGATGAAAAGTATCAGATGGAATTATTCTACCTTTAATAGAAGAAAAATTGATATTTTAAACATATTTTAATATGAACCTAGTTAAGCTGCAGCAAATAAAATTGTAATATGCAAGTGTGCAGTGTGCACTTTAACAAAACAGCAGTGTTACTTAATTTAATTTTCTTTTCCAGGTCTTGGGCCCTAGGTGCATTTGCTCTTCTGTGTCTTCTTGGTCTGACGTGGTCTTTTGGCCTGCTTTACATCAACGAGGAGACCATTGTGATGGCATACCTCTTCACAGTATTTAATGCTTTCCAAGGGATGTTTATTTTCATCTTTCATTGTGCACTTCAAAAGAAAGTGAGTCATCTTACATATACATGTTCCCTGTATCATTCAGAATACCATAATTACCTGCTTTTTAAACAATTCTTCACAAAAATGTTAATAGTATATAAGGAGACAGAAATGCAGAAATACAAATAAAACCTGTATTAAGTTTACAAGTTTCAAAACAAGCTAAAAGAAAGGGGGAAAGGTTTAAACTGAAGAAAATGAAAACTGCAACACAAATTTCCATTAAATGGAGTGATTTTTAGAAATATTGATCATGATGATAATGATATAGAGCAAATTAGTAAATCATTTTAGTTAAAATAGTTAAATGTTAAAATAGTTAAAAGCATAGCTGAAAAATTACCGGTGAAGAAGTCATTGATCAGCCTCAATGCAGCAGAGTTAATTAATTGCATCCTATTTCTACATTCATCAGAAATTACATATGTGTATAAAAATTAAATGTATTTTCCGAGAAAATTGCATTTATAAACATCTTTTCTTGGTATGACTTTGGGACATAGCAGTCCAACAGCTGTTCTGACACTGGAGCACTTCAGCAATCCTGTGTTCTTTGGGAGATCAGGCAGGTCAGGAGGAGCAACAGAACTGATCTAAGTTCCTTGCTCTCATTTCTTAATAGATTACATACGTTTTGTCTTTCAACACACCCGTTTGAGTCAGAGGGGTGGGGGGGTGGGAAATAGGAGCTTTAAGATCCTGTAGATCTTGGTACCTCTTCCCATCCCCTTCCTCCTCATTTGCATCTTCACCCAAGGACAGGAATCCATTTTCAAATGAGGAAGCCTCTGTGATGGATCCTGAAGTGGTTGCAAGTAGCAGGGTAGGCAGGAGGGAAAGTACAAGTCTTTGGATTTCCCTACCTAGGCTCTCAAAGGAGGAATTAAGTAATATCCCAGGGTCCCACAAATGCTTTTCCTGAGTCCATAAGCTTGCTTTCTAAAGGTTCCTCATCCTGAAATACACATTTCATTCATTTTGGCATGTTTCTGAGGCAAAAGCTGTGTTAAACTGTTAAATCAAAAGGATAATTGTCTTCCAGTCTGGTCATTATACTAGGAGGTACAGATCTGGTTGATTGACAATGAGTCAAATCTTCACAAATTTCTAGAGGTTGTCACCAAATGTTTGTTACCAGGAAGCTGAGAAAGAAACATGACTGTTATCTTCTCTTTCCATATTTGAAGAACAGACTTTAAGTAATAGCATCATACATATTCTACTAATTTTAGATAAACCCAGCTACTGTAATCCACTAACATCAAACAGAAAACATTGTTGAATAGAACTTGCAATAAAATAATAAATGTTGCTTCTAGCATATACTCTAAATATTAACAATGACTTTCTGGCATCCTGTACCGGATAGAAGGATCATGGAACTATGACTTTTGTGCTTTGTGCAAAACATTCTGACTCCCAGTTTCAGCTACCAAGGTGTCTACCATAGAGTAGGAGAGAAAGAGGTCAAGACATCCCCAGGATGTCATATATCATGGCAGTACTGGTTGCCTTCCCACACCCCCAGGATGCCCCCTTCACCCATCTCTGAGGTTTCTCTTGCAACCTCCTAGGTACAGCTGGTGCATTCAGATATGCAGCTGGCTGTGGGGTTCAAAAAAGGGGGCTGCTCTGAGTATGGAAGCCCAGCTACAAGATTGGGCCAATCTTTCAGCTTTGTATCTAGGTCTCTGAAAAACTGTATGTCCATCTCAATCAGTGATGGTGAACCTATGGCACATGTGCCACAGGGGGCATGCAGAGCCCTGTCTGTCAGCACGCAAGCCAAGTTGCCCCAGCATCGCCCCAGCAGCTGAGATACAGATAACAGCCCACATAGGGGCCATGCTCATGCTTGGAAAGGATGATGACACGAGCCATGACTCATTAGCCATGACTCGTCCGAGCTTTCACATGGCCGGTCAGTGCACTGCAAAGTTTTTTTTTTTTTTTTTTTTTTTTTTGCTTGGCCTGGCTGTGAGTTGTTTTTTCTGAACTAAAACCTCCGTTTTCAGGTTATATTACAGTGTTGGCACTTTGCGATAAATAAGTGGGTTTTGGGTTGCAGTTTGGTCACTCGGTCTCTAAAAGGTTCTCCATCACTGATCTAGATGCTACCTAGTGCCCATAGGATCCTTTTGTTGCTAATTTCCATTTCATATAATGAGAAGCACTTTCACTTTTTAAAGCTGAAAACAAATGATGTGGACACAAATGAGTTGTTGTATATAAAAGGTGTGGGGGAAAGTACAGTAAGACAATAGGAGATAAATTATTTTTTAAAAAACTTTGTATTTACCAATGGCAGGTTATCCATATTAGAACCCATAATTTACAACTATCAATAAAATTCTTATAAATCAGATTGCTGTTCACACATTGAAATTCCTGATTTTCAGGTCCTGCCATTAATTTAAGATCATTCAGTAAAAAGCATGCTGAACTATTGGTTATTTTAGTAAGTGTTCAGTCAAAGTGACCTTTTTGTACTTAAAATAAAGTTGGCATTTCAAAGTCCATTTAGAACTGGCATGCTAGCTCATTTATTCATCTGTTGTTTGTATCATGAAACCAGGAATGACCAATTGGGAAGAAATGTACTTCACAACTGAAGAATTGGGGTGACTATTTGAGGCCTTTAAAAATAGATTCAAGCCCTTCCTAGTTTAGGATATTATAAATTCTTGTTCTTAGAATGATAAGAGAAAGTGTGCACTTTTAAAATTTCATAGTAGAATGTTGTACTTTTTTCTATTAAGCAGAGTCAGCAGAAAGTAATATTAAAGTGACAGTCAAGTACGGAACCTAACACAAGATTATTCATGCCTCAAAGAATGTTTAAGGTTTAAAAGTTTTGGTGTCTTTCACTAGATATCATTCTACCGCTGTATAGATTGCTAATGCAGGCTTTTTATTCCAATATTACTAGCTGGTCACTAAATTGAACAGAGAAAAAGAATTGTGAAAGTGAAAACTATTATGTTTCCAGTCCTGACAAGATGATAGTGCTGTTACCTCAGTTATGAACAGGCTGTAATTTAGAAATAATAACAGTGGAATGCGCAGCACCAACAGATAATGTACATTCACAGCAGTATAGACATTAGGCAAAATCAGCCCTGGGGAGTGGTATTTGGGTGAAAAACCTTCTCGTCACACATCTCCTCTTGGATTGCAGTTGTCTGAAGCAATTAAATTACTTTAATTTAGATATATATTATTTCTCTAGAATTTGACAGTATTTGTTAGTATAAGGGTATACATTTTTTGAACTAAACAACATGCAACACTGAGATTTAATTTTGTGCCTGCATCCCCAAGTAAGCTCAATCAAAGTTATGTTCTCTTGAAATTAGCGTAAATAAGTCCTGGTATGTAACCTGCACATACTCAGCAGAGATACACAACAGTAACAAGTTAGTTCTTTTAATGGCAGTAACTCCTGACAGCTAAGGGCAGTTCAGGGTGAGTTAATCTTTAAAGTACTGTAACTATGGTGCTCAGCCATGTTCATTCAATTCATTGCTTTGATTTCATTGCTTTGTAAGTCAATAGCATTTATTTGTTTATTATATTTGTTCTCCATCTTTCCTTAAAATATGCCCAGTGCACCTAACATTCCAGTTGGATTACTGTAACACGCTCTACCTGGGGCTGCCCCTGGAAACGGTACGGATACTTCAGCTGGTACAGAATAGAGCAGCCAGGCTGCTGACAGGGACCGGTCGTTATTCTCATATAACGCCAGTCCTCTACCAGCTCCACTGGCTTCCAGTTGAAGTTTTGGCCCAATTCAAGGTGCTGGTTTTGACCTATAAAGCCCTGAATGGCTTGGGACCGGGATAGCTGAAGGAACATCTCCTTCTTAATATGTCCTCACGTCCCTTAAGGGATAGGCCCTGCTCCAGGAACCCTCCTAAAGGAGGTAAAAAGGACGTCTACTCAGAGTAGGGCCTTCTCTGCAGTGGCGCCCAGATTGTGGAATGCGCTCCCCTGGCGCCAAGCCTATAATCTTTCGGTGCCAGGTCAAAACCTTTTTATTCAATTGTTATTTTAAAAAATAGTTTTTTAATGGTTTTAACAGTCACTTTTGATTTAATTTATTTTTATTGGTTATATATTATTTGTTGTATTCATTGTTTTATTGTATTCTGATTTTAATAATTGTAAGCCGTCCTGAGATGTCATACATAAAGGACAGCATATACAAGTTTAAAATAAATAAATAAAATTCCACTGTTTGGAATGTCACTTTGGGCACATTTGTAAGCCAGTTTAGACGGAAAACAGGCCTACAGCTCCCAGCATGCCCCAGCCAACATCACTGGGAATTGACTTATTTTATCCACCCAAACTTGCATAGAATTGGATCCTTAGGAAACAATATAAAACCATCTAAACATCAGTTTATAACTTATGCAAAGAGCAGGCAGTTAAAATATTATTCAGATAAAATGTGGGTTAAGCACAATATAATATAGAAAACAATTCAGCTTTATAGGCCATATGCTTGTTTAAATGAAGAGTGTTTTGCCTGCTGGTAAACAGTAATAATGTAAGATCCCTTAGTAGATAATCCCAAAGTTTCTGCCACTGAACCCTTTGTGAAATGTCTACTGAACCTGCGCAAAGTATTGGTAGGAGACAGAGAAGGGCTTTTCCAGAACATCTCAGTGCCTGGGCAAATTCTTACAGTTGCTTGGATCAGGCTGGTTCCCATCAAGCAGTGAAGAATATGCACCGAAGTAAGTCCTGGATTCTTTTCAGTGTGTACTGGGACACACAGGGAATAGCAGCCAAGTCAAAGTTATATATACCCATTTTGTTTATGGATTGCTTTTCCTTCCAGTTCTCCAAGCTGAACTAGCAAAATCAAATGGGAAAAGAATAAGTATATCATCTTTGGAACAACCTCCCTGCAACAGGGATACCTTTTTGATACCACGTTAAGACAGGACGCTTTGTGGAGACTGTTAAAGATCTCTCTGGTCATCCAGGGGCCTTTTTTACCTTCCTTCTTGGCCAGGCCTTTTTTGTTGTTTTTAATGTATATTAATGGTATTTTAATTAATTTTTAAATGCTTTAAATGTTGTTTTCTATAATTATTTTGTTTTTATATCATGTTGTGAATCACCCAGAGAGCTTTGGCTGTGGGAAGTATAGAAATATAATAAATAATAATAATGATTCCATGGTAGTTTACCTTGGTCTCACTTTCAGGAAGACCTTCAACTGGTTAAGGATGGGAGAAGCCTGATCTTTCTCTCATTAATACCTAAGGTGCAAATGCTGGTTGAGGGAAGATGGAGCTGGACCTAGTAGCTGCAACATGGAGAGAGATCTTTCCACAGTGTCCCCTACATTTCTCTTTTTCCTTTACCAGTGTACACTGAAGGAGAATCAAGATATTGACTATATGAACTTTTATATAGAAAAGTATGCCTTAAACTAACTGAATGAATAGCTGTTTTTAAAGTTTCCAATCTTTATTTAGTGACCTGAACCAAAGCTAAGTTCAGATTTCATTCCTCATCTTTCATAGATTTAGGAAGGCTAGATGTAGTCTTGACCTTTGATATCCTCTATGATCACAATCCTTTCAGCAATTGTCAGTATTTCTCTGGGGAAATGCATGTGGGGCATATATCACTAAATACAATGGTACCTTGGCTCACGAACGCCTCGGTTCACGACCAAATTGGGTCAAAAACAGAAATTTCTGAAAAATTTTGCCTCAGGTCATGAACTCTGCATCAGGTGATGATCTTAATCATGCCCATCTTCCCCCCTCCCCCAAGTGTGCCCACAATTACGCCCATCTATTGCCATGGCTGCGCTCCTGCGGGGATGATGGGCACGATCGCAGTCGTACTGGGGGGGGGGGGGGGGGGGGGGGGACGATTGGGGGGGGGGGGGGGGGGGGGGGGGGGTGTTTTTTTTTTTTTTTTTCACTTTGGCACAAATTTTTGTGGTTAAAAAAAAAAAAGTTACAGAACGGATTAACTGTATTCCTTTTGGGGAAATTTGACTTAGCTCACAACCAGTTTGGATCATGACCAGAGTCCTGGAACTGATTAAGTTCATGAGCCAAGGTACCACTGTATTGTCAGTATTTGGTTGCAGTGAGGCTGTAGATAAGCATAAGGGATATAGCTATAAATGTGGTGCTCAAAAAGTAATTTTATTCAGACAAAGTAGCATTCGTTTACAACTACAAAGATTATATTTTCTCTGTGGCATCTTCTAATTTGGGAATGTATTGGGAACATACAGGGCTAGTTAAAGGTCTGTAGCTGTGTCAATCAGCTCTAGTAGTTGAGAACAGGCCAGTAATTTAATTACAGTTTGCATTTGTTTAATTGAAAATTTCAACATGTCCCCATTCCAAACGACTGTGGTGAACCATAGTTGTTTACTTGAGATCCTTGGACAGTAACACAGTATTAAAATGAAAGCATGAACGCATTTGTTCATAAGCACTGACTTTCATATACAGGTACGTAAGGAGTATGGCAAGTGCTTCAGACATTCATACTGTTGTGGAGGATTGCCAACAGAGAGCCCTCACAGTTCAGTAAAGGCATCATCTACAAGGACTAGTGCTCGCTATTCTTCTGGCACTCAGGTAACAAATATTTTGACAGTACTTTTTAATGACAGCACCTTTTAATTAAACTTGCTCAGAAAAAGTCCGCTGAGATGTGTTCCATTCAGATACACTAATTGTGTTCTCATTAGAACAGCCTTGATGACAATTGCATGCTTTTTATATTCTGTACATGATTCTAACCATTCTCCCATATTTGAGATTGTTGTAGATGACTATGCTGTTTCTAATGTGTTGCTCCACATACTCACTTAGGCCATTGTCCCACTTGTGGCTAGACAGTGATTGAGGGATATATATCATTGGAACATGACTAGTTAGCAGTGGGTCTGAAACCAACCTTGAATAATTTGGAGGTTTATCCAAATGCATATTTCACATCTAACTTGACATTACAAGGCCACCATTTTCCCTAAAAGTTCTCCTTATGCACAACAAATAGCACAAGGAGTAGCTTGTACTTTTGTCTCACCAGTAGCCTCATCCAGTTTAATAGATTTTATCCTTTAATGATAAAGAAGTCCAGATATTTAGTTAATAATAAATGCACAGGTAGCTCAAAGATTAACCACCAGATGGTAGGGATTGAGGAAAGCCACTAGAACATTCTTTGCTATAGTCCTGTTTGTTTCCCATACCTAAATGCTGTACCCCTTCAAGGCCTCATCTCCAGCATGAGTAAGGGCTCACAAGAATTTTGTACCCTAACTTGTTTTCTTGCCCGACCACCACTCCGGAACATCCAAAGTAATAATAAAGAGCATTGTATAAAGATTTTTAAATAAGTATATCATTCCACCAATAGTTCAGGGCTAAAATTACTAAAACTTATCCTGAGCACAGGATTTTAAACTCCTGCCTAGCACCAGCTGATCAGGCCAGAGAACCTTAATGATACAAGTCAAACTGACTTCCGAAATGGCCATCAAAGAGCCAGAGGCTAGTCTGGCCAAGGCAAACCACAATCTGTTCCTTGCAGTTCTCTGATGCTTTGGGTATAATAACGTGCAGGACAAATGCTACACAAAACAAAACTGAGCAGCACAGACTTGTGCATCTTTACTTAGCAGTGCATCCCCACTGTGCTCAGTGGAGCTTACTCCAAAGTAAATTTACCTAAGATTATAGTCTAAAAGTAGCAAAATGTGTCCTGCTGCAATCTGAGATGTGATAATTATGTCCAGTTTTCTTTATATTAACAGAGCCGAATAAGAAGGATGTGGAATGATACTGTGAGAAAACAATCTGAATCTTCCTTTATCTCAGGTGATATCAATAGCACTTCAACACTTAATCAAGGTCAGTTATTTAATATTTCACTCTACTTTTTTCCTTATAAAATAGTATTTAATAGTAGTATTAAATACTTGTATTGTATTGTAAAATACAATACAAATAGTATTGTATTGTATTGTAAGCCTCCCAGAGAACCTTTGGGTTATGGGGTGGCACAGAAACAAAATTAAATACATAAATAAATATTTATTAAATAATAATTTAGAAGCCTTAGGGTGCAGTAATTCAGTGAAATGGGCATATGTGCTCTGCAGCAGGTAACTGAAGATCTCAACATCAAATGGAAACAGTGCGTGTGCAAACATATGTGCACACGCACACACACAAGTATGTACGTTGTCTGTTGAGGGAAAATGTATAAAATTATGATTTGGCTCTGTCTTGAACAAATTTAAAACTTGGTTTCTTCATCTTCTTGCTCAGGATGAAAGCTGACATTCTTATTCATAGAAAGTATATTTAAATAAGCCTCATCAATAATTTAACTTAAAAGCAAGAACATAATTTTAAACCTTTGCTAACCTTTGTAGTCTAAAACTGAAACAGAACAACCAGCACAGTAACATTTTAAATGCATTAGATTTCCATATACAGGCATTTTGCCTGTGAAATCAAATTGACATCGGCTCTGTACAAAAGACATCTGCAAATACGTTTTTTTTCTTTCAGTATAGTTTAGATCGTGTCTATAGTGTAGAGCATTTGTCTGCCACATGACAGCCTCAGGAAAGAAAGGGAGGGGGAGAAACCCTGACAGCCACACAGTATATTTAAGACCTCTGGTCACAGTTCTATCACTTTAACTCAAACTGGATGATCACAAGCCTTCGAACTTCTTTGTGTAGGTGTACTAAATGATGGTGAAGGCCAGCCTACCATCTTCAGCAATAAAGAGAACCAAACTTTCTCACAACCCTCCTACTGAAACTATTTTTCTCAAGGACAAAAAAAAGATATTAATGGACTATGCTTTATCTAAAAATACAATAATTGCAATATCATGCATTCTGTTTAAATTCAGTTTAGGAGAATGGGGACCTTCCTGTCAGTTGCAGTAACAAAAAAGTTTGTGCTTGAATTCCATTTAAAATATTGTTATGACAATGGTTTGATCCAACGATTTGTAACCCCAGAAAATGTAAAACAGCTATGATCAATATTACAACAGCATTGGAACAGATACAATGGTGGATCAGATGCAAGATGGGTATCAATTCCTGGGGAAAAAGCCATAAGCAAAGGGTAAACTGAATACTCCAGGTTTTAATTTATAGTCTCACTGTGCAAAAGAGCATTTTACTGTAGAAATAAGACACATATACAACCTGATCCAGCAGGAGCTCTGTCTCATACATAATAAAACTCCCACAGTCACTGGAGTTCCCCATTCATTTCATGGGAAGAGAACAGATCTACATACACAAAGCAAATGGGTCCTAGAAAGTTTTCCCCTGTTGAAATGTCTTGGAACCCCTACACTCACAAGAGTTTAACATGTTTAAGACACATTAGGACCAGGATGAAAATTGTATCAATGTGGTTTTCTTTACCATGCAGCATTTCTGTTGGACTGTACATGAAAGAGTTTAAAAGCCGTGTATAAACCCAGAATATTGTGGTGAGGGAATCACTCAAGGCTGCCTACTAAATTCATTGACAAACAGTTTCTTCAGATTTTGTTGCTAATATATACTCATCAAAAATGTAATAGTTTTGTTTGAATACATGTATTGTACCAGCATACACCATAGGGAGTTCCAGTTGTTTGCAGCCTCTTCTGACATACATGCAGATTTTTTCTTGATGTATGCAGCTTCCCTATAGGAGAATATGAATCTCTCCCATCTAAACCCAGTGCTTTCCTTACAGATCGCTTCCTAATGTCAAATGTCCAACACAGCTCCACTCAGTGAACCCAGTACTGCTTTTATGACATAATGAAAACACTGCTAGAAAATAGGGACCTGAACAGATTTAAATCTCCCAGTCTCAAATTCTCCCTGACTTTTTGGGAAATAGAGCCTTATAAGGTAGAACCTTATTTAGGTTCTATCACGTTCATTTCCACTCACCTGTGGCATAATAATAATAATTTTAAAAATCCATTCCTTCTTGCTGGGTGTAAGTAGCAGTACAACCAGGGTCAAATATATGTTTCCCCCTACACGGAGGGGTGGAAGAAAGGCCTCTTCTGAAGTATGAGGCTCTTTGTGGACTGACATTTCTTCCTGGGAAATAGCATCCTCACAGCCTTTAAGAGAGCAGTTTGTTGTCATTTGAATTTATATCCCTTCTTTCTTTCTTGTCAAGAAAAAGCAGCCTACATCTACTCCTAGTAATTCAAAATCTGTGCTGGTTTAGCTATAGCTGGACATCATCTAACAGAAAGTTCCAGCACTCCTACTAATTCATTGGGGCTTTCTCAGTGAAATGTACTCAATTCTTTTAGGAAGCCAGTACTGCATTTCAATAGTATAATCATTTTTAATAGTCATGTGCTTGGAGTTTTTAGAGTCGTCCCAGCAACATTAGAAAATCACTGTTCTTTCTACTGTACTGCAACGAGCAAGACAAAGACAGCAAATGTAGGCCAAGGAAAGCACAGACCTATCATAAATTATGTTAATTAGGTACACATTAGCATGCAGTTGAAAGTTTGCTGTGTACAGCTTAGTGGAAGTTAGTTTGAATTGCCGTTTCTTGTAGATTGCATCTTAAAAAAAATCTGTGAAAATCAAATAAATGAAACCAGACACCAAATAAGATTAACATAATCTGTCAGTAAAGCAATTCCCTGAACTCCAGGATTTTTGCTACCTACAGGAGTAATATTTTGAGTAGTGATAAAGGCATTAATATTTAAAATGTAATATCTGCTGCTATTGCCACAATGAGAACCTAATCAATTTAAATTTTGTATGTAAATTTTTAGACCGCTCTCTATCTCATTCTGGACAAGTAATATATTCAGACAACATCACTATGTGCTGTCATAGTATTCAATCGAACAGTATTTTCACCTAGCTCTTATATGATGTATTTGTGTGTCCTTACAGGCTACAGTATAATTTTAGCTCCCCTGACAACTGTATTAATTTAAGATACCCAGGATCAATGTGGATTTTCAGATGCTTACTTTTTAACAAATTATTTTGAAACTTTGTCTGCTGTTTTAGAGGCATATGCAAACGTGCAGATGCATTAGGTCTGGAATTTCAGAAGTAGCTGTTTGTTCTAGACTTCAGTGTATTCATTTAAGATTATTGTTACAGAAAAAACTGACATAGCTTAACAATAATTGACTTTAAAAAATCTTTGCTGATAGCAGTGCAGCATGAATCCATTTGTCGTATAAAAATATATGAATGATTTACCCTGAACCCCTTTCTTCCTGCCATCCTTTCAGCATGTGCTCTATTGCATATAATAAGATAGGCTTCCTGCAGCTTGTCATCACTTACCTTTGGCTGAAGACATTATTTTCACTTGCTCTGTTTTTAGCTAAGTTAGTAATAAACCTGGAATGTTTTCCTCAAAGATTGTCCAGCATCTCCACTTTAACACAATTTTGATTTTTCTATTCTGGTGCCTACCCATGCTTAAGGTTACAAACATTAAGCTGTAACATCTTGAAATAGAACATTGGTCTCTGTATTTAATTGCTATTCTTGTTTTAACAGCGATTTTGTATAAATTAGCAAATGTCATTCTCAGCAGGTGTTTACTTTGGGGATTTGGCCAGCACCTGTGAATTACTGAAATCTAACCACATTTTCACTCTCTTCCTTCAAATTAGTAGTTCAAATACATTCAGAAATGTTCAGCTGAATTAAATCTGACAAGATATACACGACTCATGATGAAATTAAAAAAAAAACACTTTATTGGAACTGTCAGAATCAAATTAAAGAGCTGATGTCTCTCTTTCTGTTTCTTTGCTTTAGGAATGACTGGCAATTACCTACTAACAAACCCTCTTCTTCGACCACACGGCACTAACAATCCTTATAACACATTGCTCGCTGAAACCGTTGTATGTAATGCCCCTTCAGCTCCTGTGTTTAACTCACCAGGTGTGCCCACACTTTGGGATATGATGATATTGCATTTGCTTCTTAATGATATTTTCCTCAGAGTCCCATCTCTTAATTTAGTTGGAGAATTAGTATTGACTTCAGAATTCCTCTCACTTGAGAAGTACTGCTGAAATGCCAGGCTTGTAAAACTGCACTATATTATAGTGATAATGCCTTTGCCATAATAGTATTTGCCAATAATCATCCATGTTTTTAACACAGGTGGCATAAATCTTAATATACTATTGCAGGACTGACACCCCATGGTCCGAGAGCCCATCTTCAAGATATATATCACTTAGAGGTATCATGTCTATGCAATATAAAATTAATCAAAAGCTTGCTGAGAACAATCTGCTTACAGAGTTGACTAGACAAGTAAACCTGCACAAGGCATCTTGACTTGTCCTGGTGTGGGAAACTGCATCTGGAGCCATATTTAGAGCTGACCTATAGTATAGTGCAGCTTTATAGGAGCTTTTTCCCCTTAGGAAAGTCTTGAGGTGGTGGCTAGGATTAGAAGAATAAAGTTGTATGGAATGTATCGCATGATCCTAAGATTTTCTGCTGCACCAGCAGCTAAATGTTTAGGATAAGGTGCCCCTTCTCTATGCTGTGAGCAGTTGTCTTCTAACCTGACATTGCTCTGATGCATTATTCAGTTTCAGGGCCATTAATTCAGTGCTGCAGGCAGACACACCAGCATCACAATGCCAGGGCTTGATACTAACCTTACTTTGTAATACTATACTGTCCAACTGCTTTTCTTAATTAGATAATTAAAAAATTAATGTACCTTTATTAATTATTAGTGGAATAAGCTATCACATGTACTAGCCTCTAATTTAACTTATTCTGTGTTAAGCATTTTATAATGTTTGTTTAAAAAACTGTTGTTATATGTTCTTATGCCTTACTTTTAAAACTGAACTGCAGTTTCTATGTTCATTCTCGTGTTTTCTTACTTTCCTTATGCTTTCCTCTAGCAACCTACAGAGAGACAAGTATGGGAGTAAAACTTAACTTTGCCTATCAAATGTAAATTTTTTCAGCATGATTTTTAATGGGCACAATTAAAACATAACTAGCGGTCATGAAGTAGACTCAGCGGGCAAGTGGTTCACAATTTGCAAATGAAACCTTTCCATGCTCAAACAGTACATGTGTACTGATTTGGGGGAGAACCCCCCTCCCACAAAAAAAATAAATCACAAGAGGTCTGTAGCAAGCCCTATTGGTAACTGATGATATCCAATGCTGAAATAATTTGCTGCTTAAAACTAGAGCACTGTTGAGCAGAAATGCCTAATAATTGACTTAACATTTCCACATTCCCACAGTAATCTTGCTACAGGCTATGAAAGACTTCAAGTGAATTACCTGATCACGGGCAACTAAACTTGCCTCTTTAAAAGTGGTTGAAGTACCTTCGAATGTGCTTAACTCTGCAGTATATCATAGAAAATTCATTTTGGATTATTAAATATGCTTCACTATCTCTTTAACAGAGGATAAAGAATTAGATTATTAAAGAGAGAGAGAATGCCTTCATAGGGGAAATTAATACCGGCATGTAGCCTATTCATTGGCTCTCTCTTATGAATTCCATATGTTCCATATGGATAAAGCTTTTGCGAGAAAGATGTAGGAACACATATGAAATTATCCAGCTACAAAAGTTGTTTAATCAAAGCCTAGAGAAGCTTTTCAAAGAACTGCTATCCTTTTAACTAATTCAGTACACATGAATAGCTGGAACAACACAGTACAATTTAACTGCGGCTATTTTACTTCAAAATTAGTATTCTGTAACTAAAGAAAAAAGAGTCTCAATGGGTCATCAATCCAATCTAACTTGGAATTTTCTTGGTTAAGCTGCAGCTTTAAGTGCAGACTGAAAGTAAAACAGGAAACATTTTAGACATACGTACAAATTGTTCTTTTTCTATAACTACTCCAAGCCTTGCATATAATGCAGCAGCCTCACAGTGGTCAGTTTCATTCCAACTACGTAACTCATATTTCTTAATTTTCCAAATGTTTATCTAGAATGATAAAAGCAAATCTTCACTAACAATTCATCTAACCTCCCATGATACATGCCATTCAGTTTCTTTTGAAGCTTTATTTTTCTTTGCTTGAGAAGCAATGTGATGTCTTAGTTTACATGTCTTTGTGTCTCTAGAAATAAGAGTTTATCTCTAGAAAAAAGAGCATGTCACCATAAAATTCAAGCTTGTTTTTCTTTCCTATACTTCTTTCCATCATTCCAGCAGATGTGTCTAATTTTGCCATTTCTGTAGTAGTGAAAAGACTTCAGGCCTTATAATCTCCTCCCATTCCACAGCTAATATCTCTTCTTTGGTTAATTTCTGTGTCCCATGCTTAGAAAAATCCCTAACATTTCTGCTTTTGACTTCCATATGCCCATCATGTCCATGGGCCTAACTTTAAATAAACTATGCTGGTTCTTTCAGTGCTGTCACTGTGACTGATGCAGACTGCAGGGCTGCAGGCAAATCTTGACCTTCTGAAGCCTGGGGCCATTGCTGGCAGATTGAATATTAAATGCAACCCCCCTTAAAACATCAGATCAAAGTGGGAAAAAGCTGTTATTGCTAATAATCTAATTTGCTGAACCCTTGCTCTGACTAAGTTGCTGAGAAGCTCAGTAATTCTTCATCATGTTACAATAAATCATTTTACTTTCTTTTATATATCAGCTACTCTTAGGCCAGATAGCCTGAGCAGACAGACATGATGTGAGTTGTCCAAAGTGAGTCATTCCACCTGCTGTCTTCCGTGTTGTTGGATGGTGCTTGTGGGCCTCAGTCCCTTTTAGTGTGAGAGGTGGCTGTCTGTGCTTAACATGGAACCTCTGTACTTGTCCATTTTTTCCATTCTTTTCTTTATTCCATCTTCAGATTAAAAACACACACACAAAAGGAAATGTTAGAAATGCTATATTAAAGCAGTTGCTTGCCAATTACGTGGCTTTGTTACACATTTACCTTCTGTTTTGTATGTGACCTGATTCCTTTTTCTTTTTCTTTTTTTCCTTTTTCTTTTTAATTTAGTGTTGTTTAGGACAAATTCTGTTGATTTTATTTTTCCTGAATCATGGTATTATATTTAAAATATAAATGTTTATGAATGAATTGCTTTGCATTACATATGCAAGGGCATGGAGTGACCTTCCTCTCTACCTTCCTCTGGGAAGAGTTGTAGAACTGGATGCTAAATTTTTACATTAGAATCTTCACATTTCCTTTCAAATTTCCAATTTAAATATCATTGAAGCTCCACGGAAAAACAGTATTACTTTATAAAATTCTCTCTCTCTTCTATAAGGTGTGTGATTCTTTACCATTGGGAATGTCTAATCACCCTAATGTTTCTCAAGTCTTACTTCCAAGTACAACTTTGTCCTGAACTACATTAAAGACCTTTATATAATAAGAGCATCAGCTCCAGTCTAGACAGTAACCCAAGGGTGTCACTTTTCTGTTGCAGGACATTCACTGAACAATGCCAGGGATACAAGTGCCATGGATACTCTACCGCTAAATGGTAATTTCAACAACAGCTACTCTTTGCGCAATGGAGACTATAATGACAGTGTGCAAGTTGTAGACTGTGGACTGAGCCTGAATGATACTGCATTTGAAAAAATGATCATTTCAGAATTAGTGCACAACAACCTGCGAGGCAGCAGCAAGAACCATAACCTAGAGCGCACATTACCAATCAAAGCTGTGATCGGCGGGAGCAGTAGTGAAGATGATGCCATTGTAGCAGATGCTTCATCTTTAATGCACAGTGATAATCCAGGCCTGGAGCTGCACCAAAAGGAACTTGAGGCCCCTCTGATTCCCCAACGGACTCACTCCCTTCTGTATCAGCCACAGAAGAAAGTGAAGACTGAAGGAACAGACAGCTATGTGTCCCAGCTGACAGCTGAAGTTGAAGACCACCTCCAGTCCCCCAACAGAGACTCTCTCTACACAAGCATGCCCAACCTCAGAGACTCTCCTTACCCAGAGAGTAGTCCCGACATCGAAGAAGACCTCTCTCCCTCCCGAAGGAGTGAGAATGAGGACATTTACTACAAAAGCATGCCAAACCTTGGAGCTGGCCATCAGCTTCAGATGTACTATCAAATAAGCAGGGGCAATAGTGATGGCTACATAATTCCCATTAACAAGGAAGGATGTATTCCAGAAGGGGACGTTAGGGAAGGACAAATGCAACTAGTGACAAGCCTTTAATAGTGTAGCAAAGGAATACTGAAGGCCACATGCAAGTATTAAACAGACTTAATTGGCCCCATGCAGGCTCCCTCATATCTGCTTGAAGTGACAATTCTGTTGTCCCTGTGGTTTCTCCCATGTAGAGGAGATGACTGGACCTTGCAGTTCTGTGAATTTTTATAAAACAAAGCTTTGTATATACACAGAGTATACTAAAAGAATTATTTGTTACAAAGAAAAAAAGATACCATCAAGGTATTTTAAGATATCTTGCTGCTGATGTAAAAGAGATTGTGAAATACACATACAAACACAACACATAAACACACAGAGAGAAAACGTTCCAGCCATTTTACTGCAGCAGTTTGTGAACTAAATTTGTAAATATGGATGCATCATTTTTGTAGGCCTGCATTGTATTATATACAAGACGTAGGCACTAAAATCCTGTGGGAAAAATTTACTGTACCTTACTATTCCTGACAAGACTTGCAAAAGCAGGAGAGAGATTCTGCATCAATTTGCAGTTTACTGCAAATCTTTTCCATTAAGGCAAAGATTGAAAACATGTCTAACCACTAGCAATCAAGCCACAGGCCTTATTTCATATATTTCCTCAACTGTACAATGAACTGTTCTCATGAAAAAAATGGCTAAAGAAATTATATTTTGTTCTATTGCTAGGGTAAATAAATAAATACATTTGTGTCCAAAAGGAAATATAATTGTCATTAAAATAATTTTAAAAAGTTTGAAGAAAATATTGTGAAACGCTCTTGGTTGCACATATGCTACAAGCTGTTTTTTCTTACACTTGGTTCGTAGTATGGTAATATGTTTAAAATGCAACTTCTATCCATTTTCACTTCTTTTCCACTGTAAACAGTGTTCTGCTTTGACGTTAGTATTTCTTCTTATGTTTTAAATTTCTTATTGCCAAAAGAACATATTTTCTGAGAAGAACTTTCTTAGATGCCAATTAATGCCATGCCTTGCACATATTGGTTTTAAAAATTATAGCAGGTTATAAATCAGTCCCTTTTCATTCTTTAACGGGGGGGGAGGGGGGGCAGGGAAGCAGAGAGGAGAGGGAGGGGCCAAAGGAAGGTCCAAATAGTACTCCCAGGCATACTAGAAAATTATAGGTGCCTGATCTTTTTAAGCTAAGAAAAACCATAAATATTACTCTTCCATACTCCTTCTGCCTATATTTAGTAATTAATTTATTTTATGATAAAAGATCTAAGTAAATGTACATTGTTTCAGATTTTTTGGTTTTTTTCTCCAATCCCTTTGTGTAAACCTGTTAATAATGAGCCCATCACTAATATCCAATGTAAAGTTTAACACCTGTTTGACAGTAAATAAATGTGAATTTTTTTCCAAATAGGTAAAATGCGCTTTTTTACATATGAGTCATAAGCCCATTTATTTCACTGTGTGAGCCAGCTAAATTCTTGCTTAGGATTATTCCCTTACTCTTCTCAATTTAGACTGGAGAAGACAAAAGTAGGGGCTGTCTATATATCTCTATTGAATAGAGGTCAGTGCTGCTACTTGTATTCTAGTCACAGCCACATACGATCAAGATCAGAAAAGTGAGCTTTGTTGCAAAAGTACGCAGCAGTCTCCTCCATTTATGCAACATATATATATATAAATTCAAATAGGAATCTGAATTATAAAAAATAGCAAAGGTTGCAAACTGCCATCATATTTCGGGCAACTGTAATTATATGGCTATAATTAGCAATAAAGATAAGTTCTTGTCACAGGGAAAAAAACACTAATACTGCTGCATTTATAAAACTGCCATGAACATTTAAGGCCTTGCAAAGATGGTAAATCATGGCAGAATTCTGATACTCAGATTTGCATTACTGTTCTTACTACTGTTAGCAGATGGGGAAGCAAGGTAGGAGCTGATGTAGTGTGTCACCAGCAGAAGCTGTCTTTAATTTTATATATACTACTATGGAACTATCTGTTCATTCCTCCACGTTACATAGCATATGCAACACTGCAGTTTCCATGTTTTATTTACAATCATGTGGGATTGTTTTCTCTTACTGCTAAATGGTTGGATTCTCTGCCACCCCCTGTTGATGCTGTTAATGGTATTGTTGCTATCAGTAACGATCTGCTACTATAGTTTGGTAAAACCACAGTCGCCCTGGCAAATCCTGCCAACATTTCCGTTACAGATGAATTTCATAGAACCACCTAGTGGATGTAATCCATTGAGAGATTCTGTGGAGTCACAATGGATTGAATGCGACTTGCATAGCCAAACTTCCCTGTGGCCTTTCCACAATAGTTAATGGGATTTCATTTAAAGGTGGCTTCTGAAGCCATTTGCTACTATAGAGTGACTATTGAATGTACATGGGAGATAAGTATTCTATCAAATTACTTTAGAGTAAAGATTCCCTAAGCCTGTCTTCCTTAAGTTTATTAATCTTCAACCTGCTAAAATGGTTACCATACCTTCCAGTCCAGAGCTGTATGTGCACTCTGATATCTGCAGATCCTGTCAAGACTCTTACGCCCCACTGCTGAGCAATACATAGCAGGAGGGAGGGTCTTGCGTAAACTAATTGCAAAGATTCTCCCATGCACTATGTGGGATAGTAAGAGAGCAGAAGGTGTGTTTAATGGAGTTGGCACTATATTGAGTAGTATCCCTGGCCCTTTGTGTTCCTTACATAACTGGTCTCTCATCCTGCCATGACCCTTTTTTCTGATCTGCCACCTCTTGTTTATTTCTCTACAACCAATTCAAAAGTCTTCATACAACTAGTATGTTTTACAGGCTGCAGCTAAGACATAGCTTTCCATAGACCATTAAATTACCATGGGCATTGTAATTGCCCATGAGTCATATTGTATGGCTCACCATTGCATGATAGTAGGTGTTCCATAAGACTCACTATATGCGCCTTAAGAAAGTTGTACCATTTTTGATAGCCAAAATGTCTTATGAAGATTTTCAATGGATAAACCAACAGTTGCCACGATTTCTTTCCTTCGTTATCCTAAATGTATCCTGTAGTTCCCACCTATAGTTGCCATGTTTTGCAATATTTTGGTGTGTAAGGAAAGTGGTGTAGCATCTATTTAATGCGCCCACATAATATTGTAGAGGCACGTGATGCAGTTACCAGGTCTGCCTCTGAATGACTTAAAATGAATGCCTTGGGACTGTACATACAGTAATCTGAACCCTTTGGGAAAAGCAAATAACTAAATAATGTGTATTTATATACAGCTGGTTTCTAGGAGCCTACAGAAGAAGAACTCATGTGCTGAATTTGCACTGCTGCTACATGAGTCCCAGCTCATTCTGAATGACAAATGAAAAGTATGGATTGGAACCTATGCATTTCCATGATCAACTTAACTCTGATTGATCTCGATACGCCTACCTTTAAATATATCTAGAGCCAACTTTATATGTTAAGACAACGCTTGGGAATCAACACTTCTTTTCTTAGCCATTCCTTCTCATTGTGTTTTTTTATCCTGTTGCTGTTAATTATGTAGAAAAAATAGAATGTACATGATGCTGTGCAAATAGAACTGATCCATGCTAGAAGCTAGAACAGAAAAAAAGCAGAAAAGACAGATGGAAGCGATGAATTTACAGGCATATTTAATTCATAGACTGTTCATTTAGTGTTCACTTATTTAATGTTTTATTATTCATTGATTGTTTATGATAACAACTCTAACTGAATATGCTTCTTGCCTTCCTTATGATGATGAAGAAATTTACAGATCGTATGACATCTCAAAATACTCCAGGCCTTCCTACATTTTTTAGAAATTATCTTTTCATGATATTCTCATAGCTTCCCATTTGCAAAATGAATGTGGACTGAAATAATACAGCCTTACTACTGTTTGCATTATATATGTATTGTCCTGGAACAGAAACAACTCCAGTGCTCAATTGAAGCATATTGCCAACATGGAAATTCAGGAAAACCCCTGGAACATTCAAAAACAAGTTTCTAAAATGGCAGGAGAAAGGTGTAGCCCTTCTACTTTTTTTATTGCATTCCAGCTTTGCAATACAACTGTTATCCTCTTGCTCTATAGGGATTTAACTATATGCAAGAAAAATATAATTAAAGGGGGGTGTAAGAGTGTTTGTTGTTCATTGTTTGTTCCTCTGATACTCCCCTCAACTACAGATGAGCTAGCTGGGAGAAGGACCTTGGTAATTAATGAAATGTTGGATTACTTAACTCTGATTCTTTTGTTTAATGCTAAATGGATTAGAATCTTATTCAGAAAGCAGGATGGCTATAGCATAATTACATTGCTAGAATGTTATACTTTGAGGTTTCTGTTCCTTTAGGTTTTGGCCAGAATTATTTCAACTGGAAGAAAAAAAAAGGAAATTCTGTAGCAACTGAATAAAAACAATCTGGTAAAGAGCCAAATTCTACAGCTGTTTGTGCTCTGTAGAATTAGAAGTACAGACATTTTTCTTCAGTCAGGGTCTTCAGTCCAGAAGGCTGGTTTGTCCCATCAGTTACAATGGACTCTGGGTGCTACACCTACCCATTATATACCTCAGTGAATCTTTGTAAATTGAACTGAAATATAAACTCACTGTATACTAGTTCATATATAGTACGGATAATTCAAAAATCTTTTTAAGGTAATGATTCATGAATGCATGAGCATTAATATCTCATTATGTCACTGGGCAATTTTAGCCATTAACCTGAACACACATTATGGACCTTCACAGTATAAGGATGCACATTCAAACAGAAAAACTTCTACAACTCGCAGCATTCCTCATTTTTTTTTTTTTTTTTTCATTTTTGGAGAACACTTTGGCAGGATTTTACCTCTATCTGAACATGCTTATGGTTGTGTCCTAACTTTGTCATAATATTTCACAACCCACAAAAACCTAAGAAACCGGGACTTTTTTTGTCATAGAATGCACCGGAACAGCGTTCTGGCACCTTTTTTCCCAATGGATTTTATGATGATTTTGTCAGGCATAGCAGTTCAGCAGCAAACATCATTAACATAGTGCCTGCGGGCTGCTTTTGTGTCTGCTATCTGATAGTGAGGTAGTGAGGGCACTGCTCAGCTTGGGATTGGTGTGTGTGGTCGCGCGCTGAGTGCTTTCTGCCGGCGGCAGCATGAGTTCCGGCACCGTTTTTTTTTTTTTTTTTTTTACAAAAAAAGCACTGTAAGAAACAAACAGTTCAGGATGTATTACCATGTAACACAATGTTCCTTACTCTGCAAACATCTTTTAGGGCAGGGTGGGAAGCTTGTGGCCCTCTGTGTTTTCACCTACAAACCCCATCAGCTGTGGATAGCACAGTCCATTCTGACAAATGTTAAAGTTAAGGGCCCAAACACATGGGCAGCCACAAGTTCTTTGTTGTGGTCTCTGTGCATCACACATTGGATCTGGACCTGCATAGAGTTCGTTTTCAGGAAGGTTAAGCATAGCTAAACCTTAAGCGTTAGTTTGGGTGGAAGCCCTTCCTCTTCCTGTTCCTGCATCCATGGAAAGGACTCCCACCCGTTCCCTCAGTTCCATTTAGACCACCTCCATGCCTAGATCAGGAAGTGCTTCACTTGCTGGCCACCTGATAATTTTTAACTGGAGGCGCCGGAAATTGAATGTGGTTACCATCTGCATCCATAGCTGTCTTACTGCATGATGGTTCCTCTATCAACAC